TACCAGCTTCTTGTTCCTCTCTACTAGTAATACTCTAGCCTGTATTTTTCCTTTTGATTCATCAGCACCATAAAATTTTATCAATAAAATAATATTAAAATTATAGAGTTTATTTAAAACGATAAAATTCTTCGTAATATATTATTCAACATTAATTAACGCAGTTAACAAATTTTGCGAACAAAATCCCCAAATGTTTGGAAGTCGAATAGTAATTGCTTTTTTTTTCATATTTGCATGTCCAATGTAGCATGAAATTAGAACAATTTGAAGATGCAACTTAACATATTTTCCATTTTCTAGTGATATAATATATGCTGCATTTTAATGTGTATATACTGCATAGTGACAAAATGGAGAAATTTTATACATTAGTAGAAAAAGTGGAAGTAAATATTAGTTGCAAAAGAAAATATTTCGAATTTTCTCGTTTAGTTTTGTATAATACGCTTTAATGTAATTTAATAATAAACAGTTTTTACGATTGTACTGATAGAAAATAGGAATGTTTGTTAATCGTATCAACGAATATTGTCAATAATTTAATATTATTTTTTCTGACTTTGTATACTACTTTTAATTGTTTATAGTCTGCTTATGTTTTTCATAATTTCATGTTTTGAAATTTACATATGATGGTAGAAGAAGTAGTTAATTCTACTAGTAAACCAAAGGTATGTTAATTTTATTGTCAAAGCGTTATAATTGTCGCAATAATAATATCGTTGAAATTTGATAAGTTTTACTTTTGTTGTGCATCCTTTAATTGAAACGAAGTAAATTGGTTAAAGCTACAGAAATTCAGTTTATACCAATTATAAATGTATAAAATGTTACAGAATAAAACTGCTAGACCACGTCCAGTTTATTTGTGGAATGTGCTAGACGTACAAAAATGGTTGAGGAGGCATTGTAGCGATTATTATCAATTATATCATGAAAGGTTTTTATATGTAAGTACATAATTGAAGTAAGTACACATAAATATACATATATTTTTGTACTTCTGACATTAAATATATGATTAGTATTATGTATTTTTAATCACGATATCACTGGAAGAGTTTTATTAAGAATAAATGAAAATATATTAATGAGACTTGGAATTGACAATGAGCAACACAGAATGGATATTTGGAGAGAAATAATGAAATTGCATCTTAAAACAGATATGTTAGAAATTAAAGACATTGAACGACGTAATAGTATGAATTTTGATTAGTACGATATATATAATCAAATTAAATACGACCAACAATTTATGTGATACAGAGTTTTATTTGTATAATAACTTACATTGAATAATTGTTTTCCATTAGTATTATAATATTAGTAATTTTTTAATCTATTTATGTTTAATAAATAATGTACTGTTGTACATATATCTAATAAAGTGTTTGATGTCTTGGATGCATTTTTGTTCCTGTTCTTATAAATTATAAATAAAATATATAATGTCTTACAATATTTCCCTTAATTTTTCTTTTTGTGAATGTAATTAGTTTCTTATTATTAATAGTGAATGTTTTGTCATATTACAAAGTTATTACGTTAGTATAAGACTTTATTGTAAAAATAAAAACGTTCATATGTGTTGGTTAATATTTGTTATTTCTTGCGTCTGCCTCTCGTAGCTGCAATCGACTAGCTGCGCAACAGAAATATTGGAAAAACAAAAGACGATACATCGATCACATATCACTTACGTTATATGCGCGTAAATAAAGGGATTCGAACAGCAGTTGGTCATAGCAATCCAGTAGTCGCAGAAAAACCATACGAGACGAATGTGTTTGTACCTGGAACCGTGTTTCATAGTGAGCCATAACGATATATTATTAATATAATAATCAATATCACTAGGTATATTTTGAACTGTCGTGCAAAAGTCGAATTACTTACATCCTAATCGAATCGTCGAAATACAGAATAATGTTGTATAGTTGTAATGGGAACCAGGTTATTCCAAATACGTTCACAATTGTAATTATCATCTTAATTGTCTGGAAATGTAATGATGAAAAATTAATACGCGTTAAATTCTAGATTAATTTAAATCTACATACTTTTACCGTAGCTTTACCGTACCTTAATTTTATTATGGTGTAAATTTTGATCACGTGAACACTCTGGATTCCCAGGTGGTGTGGCATACCAAAGTTTCAATCCGATTCTTATATATATAGTATACATCGTTATCAATGGTATAATACATTGTGTAAATGTTATAAATACAGAGTATATTAACATCAAATTATCAGATATGTTAATATTCATACACACATGTCTATCGTTTGTTTCATTACCTATAAATACCAAAAGAACCGATTAGTCAGGTAAAATTATAATATGTCATCTTTGATTTTTTATCTTTGAAAGTAGCAAAGCGATGGACGAAAAATACTTACGATTTTGTGCATTGTGTAAGACAATCACACGTCTTGCTATTCCGACTGGACTTGCAATTATGATAGAGATAAGCCAAATTGTAATAATTAAAAATCTCATTGTGCGTTTTCCTAATTTGACACTGTTGATTGTGAAATATTATTTATCCAAATAGAAACGGAGAAAGTAGAAAATTGTTATGTTTGTTCAAAGATAAACGTACCTAAGAGGTTTCATAATCGCACGATATTGAATACCAGCAATTGCAGTCAAACTGAAAATTGTTACAGAAGAAGAAAAAACTTGGGTTGCTGTACAAAGCGGGCATAAAATGTCTACTAGGGACCATGTTTTTAACAGAATTGTCTGAAACTTGTAAAGAAACAGAAATTGTTGCGATTAGAGTAAAGATATTTTCTTCCGAACATTATTTTAATATATGTATATATGTACAATGGGAGAAATAAATATTCATACATCTCGTCCGAATTAATTTACTACGTTATAATTTTAAATATAATAGTAATGGTTAAAAGTTCCTTCGGGTATCTTCAAAAGTATTGTGTTGAATGTTGACGTAACAAAGACAGAGGCCCTTTGACAGAAACTACTTAGGAACGACAACTGAATAAAAATCAAGCGTAAAAAGTTTCCGTAGACATAAATTTATTTTTATTGGAAAATATCTTTAGTTTAGAGCAAAAATTAGTCTGGTATAAAAAAGGGGGACTAAACTGGGCGTGGAGAAAGGTTTTGTAATACAATGTAAACAGTCGCAGGTCGGAATTAGGGACCCGGAGGGGGAATTGCATCGCTCAACCTTCTAGAATCTCGAATCAATCAGTTGCTTACAAGAATTTCGACAGAAACGATACACATACTTTCCTCGAGTAATAAAAAATAAATTAAGAATAAAGTATTCGTTGTCGTTCTTTCGTCTTACTAGAATTTTACAACTCCGAAATTCATATTAAGTTAAGCAATAAAAGTTTTGCATTTTATTTGCAGGTAATAATCTGCTAGACCGTGCTGTACCAAGATTTACGTATTCGACCCACTGTAATTGTTAATAACTAATCAATTTACATGAAAAGGGATTGAAAAGAAACCAATAATTATATTTGACAAACACATATTCCGTATTAACATGTTAATTGGATTAGACTTGTTATTGAATCAGGAAAATAATAGCAGCGCAACGATATTTCCTCCAATTGTAAGTAATGCGACTGTTGCATACAGTATCGAAATAAGCAGGAATGCTCCAAATGGCATATCTTCGTCTGAAAATGAATAAAAACATATTTATTCGAGAAAATATTTACATTTTGTAAAATTGATTTATTTAGGTCTCGTTTAAGCCTGTGCTGCAATGTCTCCGAATAGAAATAACGATATAAAATAATAAAATTAAAATATTTCATTTTCATTATGAAAATATTTGATTTTCCATGTCGAACGTAGCAGTGGAATCTAAAACTCTGGTAAAAGTACAAAAAAAAAAAAATGTTTCTTCATTAATTGGAAAAATGTTGGAGAGTATCGTGAATGCAAGGAGGATATTCTCCTTCAATTATTGTTATAATGGATGTACATGGCTTTGTTGGCTGGCGAGTGTAGATATGAATGTGTGAGAATGTGTATATCCTAATTGATTCTTCTAAATGTCTTATTTCTCAAAAGGATTGACAGACTATCTGGTATTTACTAACTCTTTCGTTGCGAATTAGCTGACTAAACTATTGTAATGAAACTTGCTATGTTATCGTAATGCGACTCATCTTAGCTGTTGAAAAACAACTAACTCTTGACCGTTGCAACATTATAAATGTGAAGACTTGAGAGTATGTGGAAGGGGACGGAAATAGAAAGCAAAGAGGCCTACTCGCCCCTGGCGAGAAACTAATGCACAGGTCCAAGCAAATCCTTGGAAGAAAGTATAAGATTAGGAAATGCGATCTAAAGGACAAACTCTAAACCTCGTGCAAATCTCGAACGGAAACAGAATTCACGCAATAATTCACTCTTATCCCGTGATAAGGTTATAGTACTATAACCGTCACAAATGTATTCAACACGTAAGTTCACTGTGCATTTAGCATGACATTTATATGACAGAATTTTCTGGGAATTTGCAACGTAATAATTTTGATTTAGCTTTTAATCTCATTCCTGGAAATTTCATGTGAATCAGCATTTGTACAAGACCAAATTATTATGCGATTTATTTATTAAATTATTCTGCTCTTTCCTGAAAAATGAACAAAGGATAGAAAACGTTAAAAAAAATTTTGATCACGATTTTGACCCGCTCGAGGAGTTTCACGGGGTTGTAAGGCCCGTTATGCTGCTGCGGCAATGTTGCTGGGATGCGGCCTACTCTAACTTGATAAAGGTAGACCTGGTTGTTGTTGAACTGGAGAGAATTCTAGTAGTAGGCAGTCTCCTGCGCTGAGTTGGTGGGTCTCAATGATGATGCTGTGGTCGTAATGGAGTTTTTAGGAAGAATCTTCTTGTGAATGCCTTGTCGGTAGTTTTATAAGATTCGTCTGTCTGCTGATTGGTTGGTATAATATTGGAGGTGTGTGCTAGCTTCAGCGTTTTACGGTGGTGGTGGTTGTTTAAACAATCTAGGTCCTTATGCTTGTCGTCTAAAGGGATAATATATCGGTTCTTGTCACGAATTACACAAGCGGTGGTTTAGGTGACAATGAGTATATACAAGTCAAGGAACGCTGGCAATAGGGATATAAACAGTCCGCCACTTGACCAGGGACATTGCGGTCCTAGGGCCGCAGCAATATGTAATTTAGATATCGTGAGAATTTCTATTACGGAGACAGTGACAGAATATTCGCTCTTATATAATCTCAGAATACTTTGCAGCATTTCTCTAGCAGTTAAGTTGAATTAAACATTTAACTTTCACTTTCGATAGATAATAGTCAATTACTGTTCTGTTCTTATTCTACAGTTTGTTCACTGTTATTTCAAACATATGGAAGTGTGTCAATAATTCATACCAAAGTAAGCAGTATAACTGTCATTTCCATTGATTTTAGCAGGTACTAAATTCATCTGTAACAGAAAAAAAGAAAAGCGTGAATTACGATGACTAATTTCGTCGTAAATCAATAAAGAATTTTCCTAAATAACTAAGGTGATGATCATGCTACAATGTGGTAATAATTTGTAGTTACTTGTGAATTTGCCAATTCGCGGTGAGAGTCGGTTTTAGTCACTGTGGAGGGTGAAATAAGAGCAACAGGTCTCGTCGTGATTCAATAAACTGGAGTATTTTCCAGTAGCGAATTACTTTCATTACCACGAGAGGTGGAAACTGTTATTTCGTCAGGTCAATGAAAAGGGTAAGAAAGAATTTTCTGCATCGTTAAATTTATTTTTATTCTTAACGACTTACTCGAAAAATTTTACGGTAATTCTACATGCGTTTTCACTTGTTTTTCATGAATTTTTCATAAATTTTTGATGACAAGTGTATCAACTTTAATTTCGCTTGATACGTCCCGTTTTCCCACTTACCTATATTAATAGTAATTCATTAATCTACTCCTTATGTTATCTTCTCGGAAGGTGTTTCTTTACCCTTTGTACGATATATCTTATCATATCAATAATCGTGAAGGTCGACTCGTAGGATCATTAGAGGGGGGTTTGTTCCGTCCCGAAGAGCGTGTTTATAACATGATTTTTATTCTAAGTTTAGCGGAAGGATAAGGAGATAGGGCTAGTGGTCCAGAAGACTTTCTTCGTCAAAGGTTTTCATTTTACTGACGGTCCTTCGGCTCGAGAAGGTTCGACACCCGTCGACCGATCGTCTTGCCATTGATGGGTTCAAGTGTTTTAGGCGTAAACAGTCGGAGACGCTGCCTGTCGCATGACTGTTTACGCCCTCTATTCTAAGATCGCTTACATAAGGCTTACACTTTTAACAGGCCTAATGGTTTATTTTATATTTTATACTACGACTGCAATTCCGGAGGTTATCACTAAAAATTTTGTGATATACTTCTAATGTTGTTTATTATTCCATATTTTGATAAAATTTTCATTGCTATTGGAAGTTAAATGATTCTTTACTTATAAATAATTTGAAAATGTTTCAGAACTCGTGTCAATAGGTCATTTCAAATAAAAAATTCATTGAAACAAAACAATCAAATATGTATAAATAGGTTTTCATTAAAATCTTTTTTTTTTAATAAAAATAGCATACGTGTAGCCAAAATATTTTGCATGAAATAATTTGAATTTTATTCAAAAACTGTAACATTAATATTAATGGTATTTTAATAATTGTATTTTTTAAGCCTTTTTCTAATAATGACCAATAATGTCTGTGTACCTAGAATAAAAATCCTAATAGACTATGTGTAACAATTGTAAATGTTTAATATAGTGATATAGTGTTAAAGTGTTAAATTACAAAATTTGATTTTGAATTCAGTCAACATGGTCTTCAAAAAAATGCTGTAACTAAGCGAGTCTGACAAGTTTGATTTTCATATCTATTAATTTACCTGTCATAAAGAACTTAAGGAAGTTCATGTGATATTGTCAGCTTATTGCGATTGTAATATTTTGTATGGACATTCTGTCTCGCCTGTGCCCTTGCACCCTTATTTAATGTCTAGCACTCTTTCTTTTGATATACAAGCTCTCTTTGTTGATCACTCATTTCGCCCTTGGTGGTACTTCAGACACTCGGACGCATTCCTAGACTTTTGTTCATTGCTTGCACTTGACTCGGTCATAAATATCTCATCCATACAATCCTTGCTCGTGGTCACTCGTCCGTCCGCACGCACTCTAGACATCACCTCGAACGTCCGAGCCGAACCCGATACCGCTCTTAATACTATTTCCTTTGTTAGAGTCCCTCTCAGCTCGTAATATCACAATTATATATGATAGAACAAAGTCACATAAATGTAGACTGTTTCTAAAATAATATTCATTATGTATATTGCATTTAATACTTGCACTTAATACTCTTTAAAATACTTATATGTATTGTCGTTAGTCATTCTCTTCTAGATGTATCGTAAACTTTCGTAAGATTTCCCAAAAAATTTCAAATTTGCAGCATAATTCAAATTTATCATAGGTATATTATATTATGTACACAGAAATTCTTTTCCTCATGAAACTGAGGATACCGAGATTCTACTGTTCTATAATTCTTGTAAGATTTTATTTAAATCATGGCTGGATTAAAATGATTAAAGAATTGTGAGAATTCTGATGTATTAAAACTGGAAAGTAATTTCTTCTTTGTCTTAATAGATTATTCAATGCAATCTATGTGTATTTCTCTTTTCAATACGTGTAACTCGTTTTCTTTGTCATACATAATCTACACATTTGAAGTCGGTGGTAGTAATTAGGTTAACCTACTGATCGATTGTTAATCACAGTCGACTAACTTCTTCTGAGCTCCCTATTATACTTATATCGATCATTATCTAATGAAATTAATGAAATAATGATAAATCATTGAAAACAACGCGTACTTCCGTGGCAATACTATTATTATTAAGAATTATACGATTAAGTCAATTCTCATCCGTGATTTTCATTTCATGTTAAAGTTATTGCAGTTTTAATCGATTAATTACGCTTTGTTTTAAATTACGCTTCCTTCGAACTACTTTTGTTGAAATTGGTGATGTACATGAGCAAAGTAAATTTGACGGACTTCTAAAATTAAAAAAAAAAAACTCTCGAGATTAGACTTTTCTTGAATATTAGAGAGATAACAATCATACAAAGGATATCAAAGATTGTTATTCACAATAGACAGCGAGCGTTTTGTTCGAGTGACGACAAAAGATTTTATCTAATTGTAAGGAACAGTAACGAATATCTGTCTGTAGGATGACAGGTATGAATTTTGTCTATGGAAAACTAACCAAAAGGGTGAACGTTCCTCTTATTGTCAGTTAATTTTCATAAGAACATTCTCTTGATTCATTAATTACTTATTCTGAAGGAATATCCTCCACACGATATTGGTGCTAGCACAAATCTTCCTGTAGGGTGAGGTGATACCTCAATTTGACGCTAATTTTTTTATGACTCTTTGAATCTTATAAACCCATAATTATTGATGTAAACGTCAAACCCATTGTCAGCTAAATTCTAAGTGCTATTATCTAATTTCGCTACAATAAAATTATATATTGAACTATCGTTTGCGTTCGGTTGGCACTTGCCCGGTTGCTATAAGTAAATATTAAAAGGAAATTCTTAAAATGTAAATACCAAATGTAAAAAAAAAAAACGCCAAATGCCGAACTATCCAAGTATTTGGGATTTTGCCGTTGGAAGACCATAACGATGTTCCTTTGTTTTGCTTGCGACGAAACATTTTCATATATATATATATAAAAGAATTTAAAAAAAAAAATCATCCTAAAATTTATAAATTTCAGTGAGCAAACATTTTAATTTATTTCACTATTTGTAATACATTACTTCTACAAACATATATATTTTAATATCTATCTTAACAATTTCAATTTTTGGGTACTCTAACAATTAGAAGAGTCGGCGTTTTAATAACACTAATTTATGTAAATCACAAGCAGAGCTGCCAAGTGTGCAAAATATTTTCCTACTTTCCTATTGAAAGTAGGGGAAAAGGACTAGAAGTAGGGACTGGTGTTATATAGGGATGATAATAGAGATGTGAGCAAAGATGTAGATGAGGGCAGTGCAGATGCGTCTGGGGTTATTTCTTTTTGATTCCAGATGACTGATGAAATAAAATCGTAGCACATGGTGAAATAAAATAGTAAAACATAATTGACTTGTTTGCAGCATAAGTATCCAATTAGATAAACCATTAGTAGCGAATGTATAGCACGTTGCAGTAGGTGGCACATACGAAAATTTTATTGGCGCGTAAATGACTTACAAATATAAAATCAAAATTTTATTTTCCTAAAATCATATGTTTTCTAAAATAAAATTTATTGATGAATCTAATCCAACGTGTATATTAAAAGTGTCGAAATATGAATTAAATATAAGGCATTTGGCATCAAATGTGCAGTAGTAAAAACCTCATTAATAAGTAATTGTAATGAACTTTTATGTAATAGTGTTTATGTTAAGTTGAACTTTTTTAAATTCTACATTAATTTTAAAAATTATTAGTTATAACGTTACTTTTATGAAATTTTATGGAATATTTAAACTTGTTTCAATAAAATCCTACAAAACAATCTTTTATTCATTTTTTTCCTATTTACAATTATCTGGCTCGTCACAAAATCAATAAACAGATTCGTCAATCTTTGACACACAGATGTAGAAAGTTTACCACCATTAAGGTTAGTTTAGTACTTTTACATCAATACAATTTTTAAATACATAAACACATTATTGTATTATTAAAAATGAATAATAATGGATATTTTATAGATTATGATAACAAGGACGTTCTAGCTCCAAATCCAGGTCTCAGTACTTTCCAGCGCTTTTCAATGATACCCAGTTCAAAAAGACTTTAGTATATCTTATGAATTACATAAACTATACTTCCTATACTTCTGTATTACTTTAAATTTAAAAAAGGACATTTTTAAGTCAAAGTTCAAGTAATAATGAATATTTTATAAATAAGCAGTGATATCACTATGATTCCTTACCAGAAAGAACATTGCAAAAAACAAAAATTTTGTACGTAATAAGGAATTTGGTAAAATTATTGAACTGTTACTTCTCAAATGATTTTAATGGGCTTGAAATATTGTTATTCCAAACAATTTTTTTTTTGTGAAAAATTAATGGTCCTACTTCTCGAGATATAAGCAAACGAAGCTTGCTACTCGCGTTGAATTTTGCTTATACGTGTACATCTGTGAGTCATATACAAGCACAGCCTATGCATTCGGTGCTCAACGAATCTGATTACATGAATTATTAATGTCTATCATCCAATACATTCTATACGGAATTTAACGAACTTTAAAGATATGTCTAAACTGAACCTAATACAACCAATAAATTAGTTTAAATATCAACTAATTAATTAAATTAGATTAGTTAGATTAGATTAATAAATGTCAACTGCTGATCTATCAAGGTTTGATTGTATGATAATAAAAATTTTTCACAATTATCTCGGAAACTAAGGCCAACCGTCCATAATTGATACAGGAAAAATTTTTTTTAAAATGTCATTTTCTATAACATATTTGAAAATTATCGAAATCGAAGGTAAGCCAGTCATCAAAAAGGTTATTGACTAGAATGGAGCTATTTCTTCTGCCGACAAGCGGGCTGCTTGTGGCCCGGGGCAAGTATAATTCCACGTCAACTTGCTTAACACATTACAAAAATGATCATTACCGATTTTTGAAATTTTGTATTGTTTCTTTTTTTTTTTCATATGTTATCCAAGCTGACATGACATCTCACTCGCTCTGAACCGCAAGCATGGAAAAGTGGAAATTGAAAAATTTAACGAAGTAGATATGTTTGCTGAAAATTTATTTTTCCATGATTTAATTAGAATCGAAACTAATATAAAAGTTTTAATAGATAAATGTTTTAAAGAAGAAATGAAAACTTAAATAGATCCATCTGAAAGAACATTGGATAACTTTTTATTAATTGTAGAAACTTTGATCAAAAAGTATTTATTGAAACACATGCAAGATTTTCATTTAATAATGAAGTCCTCAAATTTTTCGAATTTCTATTACCAAGGGACAGTTTAAATTTCTCCAAATATAATAATGAAATAGAATCTTTATTAAATATATTTCCTTTGCACATTGTAACTCATAATCAGTAATAGACAAATGGTCTTACTTACTATTCACTTTTATAGAAACACAAAACGAAAACAAAATTAAAACGGTTGAAAGAAATACTTTGCACCTAGAAATAGTCACTGCATTAAGCAGGATAAAATTAAATTAAAAAAATAATTGTGAAAATTGTTGTATGTTTAAACTAATGGATAAAATACTGGCATTATTTAATAAAAATATGGATAAGAAAAAACAAATACCAAGAGAAAGGAATGGCATTCTTTTTTCTCATGAGGCCAATGAAAGAGGGTAAAAAGTAGTGAAGAGGGTAAAAAGTAGTGAAGAGGGTAAAAATAATCATTTAAATATTAGTACATATGTATATCCATTCTTTTGTACTTTTTGTATTTTTTTTCTTTATATTTTGATATGTTGTATTGTAATTTTCTTCGTGTTAATTATTACATCCTACTCTTGTGTCCTCTTTTTTCTGTTTTTATTATTTTTCTATCAAACTTAATCATTCACTGAAAAAGTAAGCTGTACAGTTGTATTTTGTATTACGCTATGTGGCTACCAGGCGTACAAAATGTTCACCTACTTTTCTAACGTGAAGGTAGATGGCTCACATGCTCATATCACGCTATACAACGCAACATCCGATGTCATTCTCCAGTGTCATTCCCCATTTCTAGTCCTTTTCCCCTACTTTTCTGCTTAAAGTAGGGGAACGTTCTGCATGCCTGGCAGCTTTGAATCACAAGCTTAAATGACCACAAAATAAATAACATATAACGTTTATAAATAAATTGTCACCGGATTTAGTAAACGAATTTTAAACAATGTTATAATTTCATTAAGAAATAGAAACGAAAATAAATAAGAATATAATAATGTTAGTTAATAATGACATTAAGAACAAACAATATTTTCTATCTTAAATACTAAAAAAAATAAACAACTGAAAATAATGTGGTATTGCTAGTTTACTTTCAAACAAGAGTGAGAATTGTATTGGTAAGTAAATATATAACCTTACATCATAAATTGTTTACAATATAACAATAATTTTACTTTGTATGTTTAAAAGTTTAATAAAACTATTTATTACATTTGAAGCTACATGATACTTATAAGTGAAAATAGTAAATTCTAATAAGTTCATGAAAAATGCTACTAATTATAAACTTTAATATTACATTGAATTAAATTATAAACTACAAAATTTATGGTATTTACTTAACTAACATAATATGGATATCTTAAAAATGTTAATAAAATTTACATTACTAATAACATATTTGGAATCACTATTTTATTGTTAAAATATAGGATGATTTATTTAACTTACATAAAAAATTATCATACACGAAAGTTATATTAAAAATATTAAGGTAGCTTAATTATGATTTAATTATATACTTGGATCATTTATTTTAATATTAAATGATGTTTACAGTTTTTAATAAACTAATATATTTAAAAAATGAAGCGAGCACGTATAAAGGCTATGGTAACAGTTCCAACCCGAAGAAAAGCAATACAAGATGTATCTGTTACTGAAATTACTAACTCAACTGAATTTAGTGAGAAAAATAAAAATATCTCTAATGATATTAATATAACATCACAACAAATTTCAAAAGATATTTCTCAAGAAAAACACATAGAAGAAAATGTAGACAATACAAAAGAATTAAAACAAATACAAGAGGTAGAAGAAGAAATGCAAAATGAACAATTACACATTGATAACCAATGTAATGAGTATAAAGATGATTTTGCACAAAATTCTGAGAAATTTAAGAAAGAGATTATACAATCACCAGAAATTTCAAATACAACACAGATTAGTAAGTATTAGAATTAAAAAATTCTATTTGAATATAAGTAAAAAATTACAGATAAAGTTAGTAGGAAGAATAGACTAGAATTACCCAGGTAAACTTAATATTATTTACAATTTATGGATAAAATACAGAATTTAATTTAAATAATACGTGTTTCAAATTTGATCTGAGTAAACTGCATTTCATTTACTTGTTAAATTAAATTCCATACCTCACCTATAGGTTGTGGATAATACTAAGTTTACCTAGATAATTCTGTCTATCCTTTCTACTAATTTTAGCCGTATTATATACAGGGTGATCCATTTGAAGTTTTGCGTGTAATTATCTTCTAAACTATAGATCGTTTCAAAAAATGTTTGAGTAAAATTTAAATAAAGCATTTTAAATAAACAATAACATGGAAGAAGAACATAAAAGTTATTATACAATATTTATTCTACATATAAATTGAAAAATAATATTAGGTTTTATAATTAAAAAAGAGATAATTATCATAGAGGTTTACTATAGATTATAAAAGCAGCAAAATATATTACAAAAATTATTGAAATCTTTTGTAATGTTTTTAGCATCTTCTTCAAAATTAACACAAAATCGATGTGGTTTTACGAAACCAACACCAAAATTTGATAACAGTAATAGAGCAAGAAGAAACAGTATTCAAGGAAGTGGAGCAAGTACAAGTGAATCTGAAGATGATAGTAGAAGATTATCTTTCACTAATACCAACCATACAAGAAATGAATTGGTGCAATTAACACCTAATGCAAAGGATACTATTACTAATAATACTAAAAATAATTTAATAACATCTAAAGTAGGACAGAAAAGACGTATTCTAGTTTCGGAATCTGCAAGAAAGCTAGCGGAGGCTAGAAGAGAATTCCATTTAAAACATGAAAATAAAACTCCAGATAGAAGCAAACTTACAATGTATGACTTAATATATTATAATCCAGTTACTAATCCTATGAAGAAACCTGCAGGATCTGCCATAACAAGAAAAATATTAGAATGTCAGTAAGTATTTTATTAAATAGATTCAATTATTTAGTTACTTTAGATGTATTTTAATATAAATCGTATGAAGTGTGAAAGTAATTTAATAAAAATAATATGTCTATTGAAACCAGAAAGGAATAATCATTTTTACAGACCTGAAGAAATTGAGGAAGAAGAAAATGAAGATGATCCATCATCTGCAATGCCAGTTCCGCAAGTAAAAGTTGGACCAAATGGTCAATTAATAATAGATGAACAAAGTCTTGTTATAGAACAAACTAATGCAAAGAGGAGTAGAAAAGTATTAGCAAAAGAAGCTATTATCGATGATGATAATAGCGGAAGTGGATTTTATAAGAAGCGTCAGAAAAGTAAAGAATGGTCCCAACAGGAAACTTTAAACTTCTATAAAGCGTTAAATACAATTGGTACAGACTTTTTGTTGATGCAAAGTCTTTTTCCCAATAGAACAAGACAAGAAATGAAATTAAAATTTAAAAAAGAAGAGAAAATAAATAGATCTTTAGTTGAAAAAGCTCTTGAATATCATCAAGAATTCGATACTGAAATACTAGAAAAATCATTAGGTATAATTTGTGCATTTTATATTTACTTTTAAGTCAAATATAAGTTTATCGATACATTTTTACGTTTAAATATAAAATTATCTCATACAAAATATTTTGTGTGAAATATTATATACTTCACAATAGTTTAATAGAAGTGTACATAGAAATGTAATAAAGGGTCACAGGATATATGTTAATGAAATAAAAATTAGTAGTTTTATATTTAGTGTATCTAAAATTTATAATATTTTATTTATAAAAATAATTTAAAGAAAAAAATTGTAAATTTATATAAACAAATTTGTTACATTAAGTATAAGTAATCTACATAACTATATTATGTTTATATGACTATTTTATTGCTTTATTTTCTATAAAAATGGAATTTATAAAATTACCAAGTAATTTTAATTAATGTAATATAACTTTTAATTCAATTAATTTACAAATTAATGTTCTGATTTTAATTATTTGTTGCCAGCTTCATTTGATAATTCAGACAAAGAATATTTTGACATGCAAGGAAAACAAAAGCAACGAAGAATAAAGGATAGGAAGAATACAAAAGCAAAAAAGCGACGGAAATCTCATAGTACGTTCGAAAATAAATTGAAATAATGAATTTTTGTTATACTTTTGTAAATACTTTAAATATTTTAAATTATTTCCTTTTTTATGTACTTATTAAACCTACAGATTTAATAATTTTAAAAACTTACTAGTTCATTAACTTATTTTTAGGACTTGTAGCAACCAGTATTGCAGAAATGGGTACATCTGATAATGAAGAAGATGCTTTAGATTCAATCGAATATGAAGAAAATACAGACATAAATGATAAATATGAAGAAACATTAAATAAAACAAATAAAAAGATATGTAAGAAAGCCACAGAGGAAAAAATGCCTGAAAGATATGATATAGAATCATTAAGTTCATGCAATGATATTGATAGTGATACAGAAGTTTATCGTGTAAGACCAACAAGATCTGGGAGATTACCAAAAGTAAAAAAATTACAGGGTCCTGATATAAATACACTTGATAATGAAAGGTTAAATTATTCCTCTAATGATCAGGATATTACAATTTCATCAGAAGATAATGTAAAAGATGCAGAGAATATAATTTTTGACAGCATCAATCTTAACTCAGATGTTCATCATATAGATCCTCTTAAAACGGTTTTACCAAATATTGGTAATGTAGAACCAGGATCTTTAGTTATTTTATCAAAAGAATCTCTGGAAGAACCGGGTAAAAGTGTTTTACAAGTTTATATGGTTAGTCCAGACGTTAACTCTTAAGACTTCAAAAAATTTAACATGTACATGTATCTTCAAAATTTTTAGTAATTGTAATGTATTAGATGTTGAATCAGTTTCATTGAAAAAGAATATGATTAATTAAACATACAATCTTTTAAGTTAACTTTATAGTTTAATATACATACATATATTTATAGATTTTTACTTTTAAAATATTTTTATTACTTTTAAAAGTATAATAAAATATTTTACAATTAGGTGAAAATATTACTTGATTTAAGTTTATTTGAATTTTAGTTTAAAAGTATATGTGAAACATATTTTCTTTTTTTGTTTGTTCATTGTTTCAAATCGCATCAATTACTGCGTGAATTATTAGCGACTACAAGTCAAGTTTAGAGTTTATTGTACAGTTGAGTCTGTTTTAGATAATGTAGTAGGTTCTGGATTGTTTTAGTCTCCTTTAGAATGTCTTCTAGATGGGTTTTTATGCTAGTTGTCTTTCTTTAAGGTATTTTCTGCAATGTATGATAATATGTTCTACCATCAGTGGACGTTACATGATTTACTGGTTGGTGTGTATTCTCTGGAAACGAGATATCTTCTAGAGATATCTAAGTTTCATATTACTCAGTATAATTCTTGAGACTACAACCTGATTATGTCTTGAGAGGATGTTTAATATGCTTTTGTTGGAAAAATTGTCTTTTATTATAGTTAGTCAAAGTGGAGATGTCTTTTTCTAAATATTATTCCATTTTGCTTCAAGTTTCTTTTTCAGGTTATGAGATAGAATTTCTGGTGGCAAGTTGTTCTTGAACTTGCTGGAGGATGATAGGACGGTTGCCTTTCTGGCTGCTTTGTCGGCTTCTTTATTACCGTTAATGCCGACATGAGAAGAAATTATTGTTACCGAATTGTTTTTTAGGGTTGCTTTTGTATAAGATTCTTGACATTCTTGGATGACAGGGTCGTTGGTCTAACGGTTTTGAATCGCTGTAAGAGCATTTATGGAACTACAGTAAATGGCGAAGTTTTTGTTTTAATTGGTGATTGTGCTTTTCAAGGCACGTTTTAATGCACTGAGTTCACAAAAAAGGATTGATGCCTTTGGATGCAATTTAACTTTTTGGATCAATTAACCACTAATGCATTGACTCTGCATATCCAGAGCCAGTTTAGGATTTTAAGACTAAACAATAAAAAGAGCAATCCGTAGCACACTGCTCTGGACCATCACAAAAATTAAGCTCAATACTTCACTACTAGAACACATTCGAAAGAAATCCTATCCAGCTATTCTAAAGCCTCTATTGCAAGAATCATAAAACAAATTATCAACCCACATCAAACTATACACCAATGGCTCAAAAATCCAAACCAGCTCTGGATATGTCCATGCTACTGTAGTAAAATGGAAGGGGGGTTTTTCTTTTCCTCATTTGTATATAGGTAAAGTATAGTTCTGTTTGAAAATATTTTGGTACACAAGATTTTGTGGGAAAGAGGCAATTTTAATTGCAAATTTGATACTTAGGTACTTTCTTCTGATCTGCAGTAGAAATTCAGATGCTTTGCTAAAGATGCTATTATTGGGTTGGAGCAGAAGGCACCCATGGTCATTGTAAGTGCAGTGCTGTATACTATGTTTAGTTTTTTGAGTACGCTAGAGCAAGTAGAATTATATACAACTGATCCATAGTCCAATTTTGATCTTATTATTGATATATAAGTAGTATATTGTTTGTTCATAAAAGACCAAATCCACAATTATTATTGCTTGGTTATATGTTTATTACTAGCCAAAAGAAAACAATGATTCAGTAACAGTTTTATATTGTAATTTGTTTGAGATATATGGGGTTATAAGAAAAATAATAAAAAGTTATTATTAAAACGATCCATGCTGAAGTGATAGATGAATGAAAGATTTATTATGTACTATCAATCATATATGTGACATATGTTGAGATGAAGTCATAGTAAGGAGTAATAAATCTTCATCTAATTGGTCTAATGAGATTTAGATACTGCTTTGATTCTAACTCACATTGGATAAAGCAAACATCAGTTCAGAATTTAAACACATAATAGAGTAATGTCTGATATACTAATGTATCCTGTAAAGATCATCTATCAAATTTTTGTCTATTTTACCTAGGTTAATGATATTTATATATTTTTTTTTAAGAGAGTTTAAACTGCCTATGTTCATCTTGGAACAAATTAGGAGGTATTATATGACCTCATTTCACATAGAAAATATATGCATATAGCATTTTATTAGTAGATAAGTTTATCAATACTCTTTAGTATCTAATAAGGCAATAAATCTAAATAGTGCCCATGGCATTTATTGAGAACTTCATTTCTGTAAACAAAGATATCAATTGTAATTGAGAAATATTCTCAAAGCTTGACTAAAATGTAAGATTTGACACCATTGCAATGTTGTAATCTGGTTTTAGTTATTCAGGCCATATATGTACCTGTTAATTCTCTATACAGTTTGGTTTGTATAGAATGAGGGTCTGTGATGTAACTGTGTTTTTCCCATGTACTGGCAAGATGCAGCGTTAGGAGACTAGAAAACTAAATACACTTTGACTTTGTTTATCTTATCTAATTCAACAACAAAGCACTTTACATAGTTATAAATAATTGAAAAAGTAGATTTTATCCATTCAAATTAGATTTATCATAGATTTATTAACAACAAAAAATAATGTATGAAAATGGCAAATTTGTATTAAGTAATAAATATAGTAGCATCCTGTTTGTTTGAAAAATATTATTATTGACACAAAAAGTTCTAGTTTGATGGTGTTGGTGTTGAAATTAAACTAGGTTAATATAATTAAAAGGAAAGAATAACGAGCACAATGAAAAGCTTTGTTTATTTTGCTTACAAATACATAAAATGGTATATTGTATAATAAATAAATTTTTCAAAAATATAGAAACTTCTTTAAATATGAAAATGTAATTTAGTAATAAAATTTTGTATAAAGAGTGTTAAATTAATAATTTATATTATAGTATATATTGTATAATTTCTGGGTGACTGTAATATTAGGTCTTTATAATAATAATACTTTTATTAAAGTAATGATTATTTATATTATATGCATGAAATATAAAAATGTGTACCACATTTTTTTAAATTATACATTTATATATTTTATACATATTTGTTTATCTATGTTAAAGGATTATTAAATTATTTTCTAGTTTATATTGCGAAGAAATGTTAAAAATACTTGTTATGAAATTGTATGTTTTTACTCGTAATGTATACTTTCACTTAAGATACAAAGAAATAATATAAAAAGTTTCACATTTTAAATATTTTCCTATAAATTTTCAGTAGAATAATATACAAGATGCCCCAGCAGCGGTAGAACAACCGAAAAGGGTGTGATTCTACATGAAAAAACAAATCGAAAATAAAGAATAAAATTTTTTCATTCGAAACTTCGTTATCGAAAAAATCGACTGTACATTCTTTACATTATATTTGTGTGTATAAATATATAACACAAAAAGGTTTGAGACTTTTTATTTGGATTGGCACAGATCCATAAATAATTGGAGGAAAATAGATGTGAACAATTTGAGACTATCGCAAATCTTTTTACTCTATGTGTGATGAGGCAGTCTGATACACCACTTCCATAGAAATTGCAAAATTATATAAAAATGGAGCACAGAAGAATGTGTATATAAAAGTTTATAAAAATCAGACATATACAGAAATATGTTATAAATACTAGTACTTTTTATTATTAATAATAGTATAATTTTATCCATAGAAAATAAAACACAAAAATTTATTTATAATTTGTGTATGAGAAAAGATTTGTTTTTGTTTAAAACAAATTGTCTCCAAGTCCAAAATATTTCTAAATAAAATAAAAAATGTCATTTATATAATAAACAACTTCAAAGATAAAAATACATTTTTTTGGTAAAAATATATCAACATGTATGTAGAGCTTAAGTAAAATCAGATAAAATAATTTAAACAAAATTTATTAACATTTTTATGCCCACAAGTATTTTATGATCTTTTAAGTATCTGTTACAATAAAACTAAAAATTCCTTTAAAAAGTGTAAAAACTATATTCCTAATAAAATTTTAAATATTAATTATGCAAACTATGAATACTTCAATATGTTGTACATAAAACTATAAATCCATAATCATAAAAACTTAAATGGATTGTTACAGAATTTAATGTTAACTAAATGGATAAAATTTATAAAAATTTAAATAGTATATTAAAAACACATTACATTGTATTAAATACATTTTTTATTTAAAAATTCCTAAATATGGAAGAACTTAAATTCATAATTTATTAAGTTTATATATTTTAAATATATTGAAAAATATTCTAGATAATTTGACAATAAATAGTTCTGCTTTTACAAAAAGTTAGTTTAATTTAGTGTAATATGTTTACTGTGGCAATATATGTTACTATATTATTTTCATCATAACTCCATCAACATCCAATAAAGTTTTATCTATAATAACTTTTACCAACTATAATTACCACTTGTCTATGCTTGAATTAAGATATTAAGTTACATCAATTTACTGAAAAATAAATTCAAATGTTATATCAAGTTGATCATTTCTTTTTTGAATTTTAAAACATTAAACTTTCAGATACTCAATTCTATAATAGAAAATTTATTTATTATTATTAATAATAATAGTAATAGTAATTGATTACACTTATAGTAAAACAGAAGTTTCATTTTATAAAATTATGTTACATATTATAGATTTATTCAAATCATATTCAAATCATCGATTAAGATACATAGATACACAGATACAGCGGTCAAGGTAATTTACATATGAAGAATTTAATAACATAGTTCTAAGGTGTCACATGGAATCCATTTTGAACTTTCTAATGCATCCCACAAATTATAATCTTGTTCTATTATTTCTCTATTAAGTTTATCAATATCTATAGGAACTGAATGTTCTGAAAACGAAAAAAGATTATAATTTTAGAAAACTTTGTTTATATTATAAAATAATAAATATAATAAAAATTTACAATTATACTTTGTGTTTAATGTAATTAAAAATATTTTTGAAATATCTTGCAATACATTTTCAAATATGTTGTAATAATATATAAACAATTAATACAGTGCAAAAAGTTATTGAATATTATTGTATTAGAAACAATCAATCGCAATAATATGTATATATTTTTATTATTTAAAAATCAAACAAATTTCTTTAATTGAAAAATAGATAAGACAATAAAATTGAACAAACTTTTGCAGTTTATATTATAAACGTTATTTATTAAAAATATCATGCCAAAATAATATTTCAAAGAATGTTATTATAATGAGTATTTGTTAAAAAAATAATATTTCTATATGTACAAATGATGTGTTTTATACCAATTAATTCCAATTCATCTTCTTCGGGTTTTTGATCAGATACATAGCTACTATAACCATCTGAGGTGGGTTCACTTTCATAATAACCTTGTTGCCATGCACTGTAACTATTCCAGTATGATGATGTATCATAATAATTATAAGCATCTGAATTTAAATTTGATGGTGTATATTCTGATGATGATTGTGGAGGAGTTGATCTATAAAAGATAGGTTATTGATTAAAATTACATAATTTATATTCTGTAAATATACAAAAGACAGTCATTTACATACCCCGATAATTTATTCCAGGGCCTAGGAACAGCATTACAAATTTTTAATGATTTTGTTCCTAATCCTCTATATCCATTCATAGTAACCAAACTATTTTTTTGTTCTTCTTCATTAGCAAATCTGACAAAACCATATCCTTTACTAAATCCAGAACTGTCTAAAATTACTTTTGCTGTTCTGATTGAATTGTATTTAGCAGCAAATGCTCTATACAAAGAATAATCATCTACATCTGTTGATAAATCTCCAACCCAAATACTAAATTCTCTTTCTGCTGTTGGTTTCCCTGTGGTACTAGCATGATTTAATCGAAATCTTACAGCCTAAAATATAAAACAAAAATTAAAATTCAAAGTGATGTACACTTCATTTAATGCAAATCATGTGATGAATACAAGAAGCTATCAAAAGAGATTCAATTAAAACTTTTTAAATTCTTACTGGGTTTGAACCAGGTATCACTTTGCCATTTAATTTATGCATAGCATCAAGTGCCATTTCGTCAGTTGGAAAATGTACAAAGCAATAACCTGCAGGTTCACCAGTATAACGGTTTCTCATTACTTTAACTGTTTGTGGTTGTTCTCCCATTTTATGAAAAGCATTCATTATAAAACTTTCTGTCATATATGGTTCTAACTAAAACAAAATGTACTCTTAATTTTACTGCAAACGATAGATTCAGAATGTAAAAATCATACTTTTATACAAAATAATGAATAGTCTATACTTACACCACCCATCCATAATTGACATAATACCATAGGTCCAGACATTTTCTTGTTTACACTTGTTTGAAACAGAAGAATCTAGTAAATTTCTGAAATAAAACAAAACATATGTAATTCATAATTTTCATTATTTGAATAACAACTATTCAATTTAACTATTTTTATGACAAACAAATAATATTATATTTATTTATTTAATTCTGTATTATAATTTTATTAATATATTACTAGCTACGATAATAATGATGGCACTGTCAATAATAACATGTAATAATTATATTACGTATCTATAAAACATAATATTTCACTATAGGTATTTAATAAAAACAGGTTAGAAGCAAATGTATAATGTATAAAGTATACTTGTATAAATATATTAAATATTAATTAGAGAAACTAACTTTTTTCAAAATTTGGAATCTTTCAAAATTACTATAAATTTAAAGGAAGAAACTTTGCGAACTTACTAAATTTTTATTAGATTTCTGTTTTAATAACAATTACTTTGGTTCCCCATTTGTGTTTTTGTGTAATAAGTATTATTTAAATTGCAATTATTTTAAATAAATTTCACTTCATTCGAATACTTATAATTATTATTAAATTCCATCGTTTCTGTGTAAAATAATTAACACACAATATTTATCTTTCAGAGGCCGCTTGTATACTATACAACTAGATGGTAATTAATTACTGTGTAACATCAAGGTACCTAATCATACCTATAATGTCAAATATTAATTTTCAAAAAAACACCTTTGGAAAGACAGAATTTTTATTTTTTAAAATGTAGCAAATTTATTTAATAATAAATTGTATGAAATCCAAATTTTTTAAGAAATTATATTTTTAGAATACCACATTTAGCAACACTGGAGACTAAGCGCCATCTACTGGCATATTCAATTGAAAATACAGAGTACCATACTTATTAATCTGAGAATGAGCCATCGAATTACTGACGACCACATACAATTTGAATCATAACTACAAAAATGTAAAGAAGTATTGAAATATTGAGTTTTATTATTCTAATTTACATCATATTTTAGGAAAGAACAGAAGAAAAAAAATTTTATACACATATTGTTTAATTTTATAAGTTTTAGCATAGTCATTTAAAACATTTAAAGTCAATAATGAATTATTCTTTTTATTTGTAAATTATTATTTTGAAAGTAATATATTCTTTTGCAAAATGTAAATATTAAAAATTCATTTGTGGTATATAAATTAAATATACAATTATTAATAAAACATCACAATTATATCAACTTCTTTCTTCAATTTTTCAGGGACAATAATATTTTGTGCTCTGTAGTGATTGGTTTTTGCATGATAAATATAAACTATTAATAATTTAAATTTGAATTCTGCTTGTGAAAAAAAAATTATTTATTTCTTATATATCTTTGTCTTATTTAAATTTTAAGCAGTTCTATAAAATGGATGTAATATATTTTTATGATTTTATTTTTAAGTATGTCATTTCTCATATTATTAAATAATTCAAATATTCTTATTTATTTCGTAAGTGACAGCACGTTTTATTCTGATATTACTTAATTATTGATATTAATATTTAATATTAATATAAACTAATGATGAAATTATTAATGAAATGAATAAATATGCTATTGATTAGTTAAAAATTTTATTAGTGAATTCTATCTCCTTGAAATCAAAATAACTAAAATGCATTATCTTTTAAAATTTTTATTTAACTCTATCTAAATTAATTTCTAAATTAACTTTATAAAGGAACATATATTGTAAGCAAAACTTCAATGGATGTAATATGTATTTTATTCAAATTTTTAAATATTATATTTTAGTTTGAAAAATGTATAATAAAAACTTGTTTATAATTTTTATATAATTAAACACTTTATTGGTTATTTTGACAATTAAAATTTTTTTAAATAAGATGGAAAAGTAAAATATACTTAGGTATAACTAATAATTCAAACTAAAATTCATGTAAAGTTACTAAAATCTACAAAAAAATTTTTGGATATTTTTATATTGTTGGATTTATATACTTTTTGTTCAGAATTACATAACAAATAATCAAATAAATTTCTGTTTATTCATAATAAAATACTTTATATAACATTTCCAATATATTTCTATGTATGTAAGATTTCTTTCAATGTAACTGCTCTAGTTTTGAAAAAATAAGGTTTGTTTTCATAGTTCTATAAATATATAAATTAATAAAATAAATTAAAACAAATTATTTTATATTTTTAGTATAAAATGTATTAAAACAATGAAATCTACAGTTTTCCTATTACAGAAAATTTCAAGCTTAACAGAACAATAAATGTATAAATATAATAGAACTGCAAATAAATAAAGAGAATGTATTTTTTTCAAACACCGTTTTCATTATCCATAATAGAGAAACAATTAGTAACACTATCAGGAGTTAAATTAGAAGGAGAAAAGGACATGATAGATGTAAATTTAATAAATCTGTTCTCAAGAAAGCAAGAAAGATAAAGAGGAAATTAAATGAAAAATCTTTATTGTAGCTTTCTTGTAAGAAAAGGAAAAAAAGATTCAACTAATGCAAAATTTTTACACTTTCAAATATATCATTGTTTAAACCTTTAAATAATATTTTCATTATTTCTTATTATTTTGTTTTTTTAATCATCTATATTATGAAAGAGAAAAGATCAATCAATTCAAAATTAAAGTGTTTTTAAAGACATGAATTTTACATCAAAATAATCTCTATTTTCATTTTAGTATCAATTTATAATATATAATAATAATATTGTAGATTTTGAACTTTACTTTTTTATATTCTTAATATATATACATATTTTTCATCCATACATAGATCATAAAAATATAAATCTATTTTTTGTCTTAAAGGTATATTTAATTTATTTTCCAATTATAAAGACGTTTAAAAGCTTTATATTTTGATATATTAATGATCATCTTATGAATAATAATAATTGTAATATTGTTAATAAAAATATTAGTAACAATAACTTATCAGAACTAATATTTATATGGAAGCACAAACAAAATTTATAGAAATAAGTTATTAAATTCTGATATGGTATATGAGACTTTTTCTTTCATAATCTTTCATTGAATAATAAATACACCAATTCTTTTTACTTTTTTTGTTCTTTCGTAAATGATATCCTGATTTATCCATCTTGACACTATGGTATGAATAGCATTATTTGATAATGAAACTGTTTCATTACTTTGCGCAACTAATAATGACAAAATCATCACATGATAGATTAATTTTAAAGGAAAACTTTATTTCTTTATATTCTATTAATATGTAACAACTAGCAATTGAAACAATTTTCTGACATATTTGAAAGATGCTAGTATTGTAAGTCTATGAATAATAACAAATAGTTTTTAAAAAGCTTTAAAAAATTCTTTTATGTTTTTCTTTAGATACTTTTAAAAAACATATATATCACTAACATACATTTTTATGTGATATTATTTTGTTTTTAAGTATGCTTTTTTATATATAAGTGGAAAAGAAACTGTATCCTTTATTTATATGACATAAAGAATAATTTGTTTAATTAATTAACTTTTTATGATGACTGAATTCTTAATAGATTGCAATGCTACATTCAATACAAAGATTTCTTGAATATGTATACTGTTTATTCTTTTTTTATATTTTTTTTAACCTACAGTTACAACAATTCATATTTAAAAATAAATAAATACATGTTATTTGACAGTACAATACTTTGAGATAATTTTTATGTAAAGTAAATGATAAATCTTTAAGCAAATTATAATATGTCGCTTCCCTATGTTTAAATTATTAACAAATTTTACTTTAAATTATTTCGTCATTTGTTACAAACGTTTAAAGCAATGAAATAAAAATTTGTCATATCAAAGATTTTAAAGAATCGTTGATAACACTGAAGAATTAATAAATGTATTTATGGAATCGTTTTTTCTTACTATTTTATAAATAACCACATAAATTAATAAAGTAATTAATAATTTAATATTTTGAGAAAATATTAAGTTTTCAGTATCACCACAACCTCGTAATATTACTTAGAAGTTAAAAGGAAAAAAGAACATAGAACAAAAGAAAGTGTGAGTGAGAGTTAAAGAGGTGGGGACAAAAAAGAGGAGGAAGAGAATCATTACAAATACATAGTAAATCCTTATATTTTAAATTATATATATCAAGTTACTTTCGTATCGTACAGAACATATGTACGCAACTACAGTATAATGAGCATTGGTAATAGTAGATTACAATTAGAAATAGTGCTGTAGGCATATAGTAGCAGATGATAGTGATAAATCATGTTTATGTATGTATAGTGCTACAAAATTTGCTACTTGTTTATAAAAATGTAATAAAGTATTTGTTTTTTAATTGAATAGTGATACGAAGTTTTGATTTAATAATTTATTAGACGAAACAAATAATATTTCTAAAATTTTATAGGGAAAAATAATTTTCAAAAGATATTTTTTCTTTCTCAATTGAGGATACTTATTGTCAAATAAGTACATATAAATTTTGATAATTATATAAAAATTTAGCTTTTGAAATGAATGGAATGGATTGATTACAACAAATTAATATGAGATAACTATCAATGCTAACGAATATAATTTTTTTCTCAGTGATGATAATGAATTGTGATATCACGGCAAATAAACATGGCGTTTATTTGATACTGGGGTCTTTTACTTAGAATAAATCGCAAACGCTGTTGCAATTCGTATCAAGTTAACAATTTCATTTTTCGCGTTTGTTTATAGATAATCTAAATTATTTACGATACAGTGAATGTATCGTTTATATTTCGCACTGTTTTCACAAGGAAACGTTTGATAAACCTGAACGTCATACATGTCAAAATGGCCCGGGAATATGATCATTTATTTAAGCTTCTAATAATAGGAGATAGTGGTAAGTATGAATTTTCATCGATGTCAGATATATTTAGTAATTAAGACATATAATAGTATATTATTAAATATTAGAAATCATTACAAAGGAAAATATCATGTCGTTTATATTTTTAGTAGAAAATAGGCAACATAAATTTAACTTTTTAATATATATTAAAGGTATATATAAAATCTCTTGTATAAATAATATTATAAAGTAAGTTAATTATCCATATAGAACTATATCATATTTCATTAAAGTAATTATGACATAAAAATTGTAACCTTTCTCGTATTACTTTCTTTGCAATTTTTAAATATATTATATATGGAATAATTTTTAAACAAATCAAAGGAAACAGATTTTTATATTAAATATCGAATTTCATGTTGCAATGTTTTGAAAAAAAAATAATACACTAAAATATTAGAAATAATAATAATTAAAAGCTTTATTGTATATTTAACATAATTAAGGAAACAAATTTTTCTTTGATGAATATATTTTCTATTTATTCTAATAAATTTAAAATATTTAAGTGCATTATTATAAGAATTAAGCGAAGATTTTATAATATATAGTTTATTACAAAATGTTTTGTTGAATTTGAAGTTCAGAATTATATAGACATAAAATTAAAAAAAATAATTCTATCGTTTTCAATTGTTCAAATATTTATAAAAAGGATTGTTAATTAGCATAATATTTATACTCATTTTTTATTTATATTTATACTTTTACTTCCTGCTATTATGTTAAATTTTATTAGTTATACTTGGTTAATATTTAATATTAAAATTTCATTATTAATTTATCATTATTTAAATAATTTTGTTAAAAAATACAATATTAATAATGTTGATAGTTTGAGATTATACAAATGATAAAAGGTACCATAAATCTAACATGTACAGTATCTTAAATTACATATGAAATGTGTTAAATATAATGTTGTACATTATATCTTCTTTAAGATCTAACATACAAAGTACCATATATAATATTAGTAATTATGTTTCAAATCATATATCATAAGTATATTTTCAATATTTACTTGTAATTAATAAAAACAATAAATAGTAGAAATATTAATTAAAAATTTCAACAAAAACTTTTGTTACAATTTTCTAAATTGATAAATCCAGCCAAGTGCAAAATTAAATATTTATGCAGATTCATTTTGTTTGAAAATATGTTTCTTATTCAAATTTTAACAAGCAAAAAAATGTCTGTGATTATTTTTTATTCTTCTCTTTTTCTTTTCATTTTAGTTGTAGTTATAAATGTTATTATAAAAAATGTTATATTAATCATTCCTTGAAGGAGTACAAAAATAAAAATGAAGTGAAGTACTTTATTAAAGTTTCTAGTAAATTGACTATTGTATTTTTTCTTAAATCATCATATGAAGCAAAAATTGCTAGGTATAGATATAATCAAATGTAATTAAATGTAAACTAAAATTATATTTATATTCAAATACTTGATTAAACAGGTATTTTATGTAGAATATCTTAATGTAAATTTTACAAGCTGTTTTTTCCAAAGTTATCGAAAATAATGGTAATGAAATTTGTCTTCTTATTTTTATTTGTTTTGTATAATTAAACAGATAAAATAGTAATAGTTTAGGAAGAAAATTTAAAAGTGAAGATTGACATATCTTAGAAATTGTTTTGTTAATTATTAAAAATATTGTCATTTGGTATTTCTCTAAATTTTTATTATATCAGGAAATTATTATTTTTTTTTTTATATTCATAGAATTATATGTTTCATAAATATTTTTTCTCACCTTTCTTTAAGGAAAAGTAATTTATTAGGTCGTTTAATTCATTTATTGTTGATTATAGAGTTTTTAATGAGACTTCAAGAAAAAAATAAGTCTGTATGTACTCTTAACAAATATTTTTCTTTAACTATATAAATTAAAAAACAAATGTTTTAGATATATGTTGTGAGTATTGAAGGAAACTGTTTGAAAAATGAAGCACTTCATGATAAATTGATTAGTGATACTTGATAAAAAAAAAATGTAATTTTTTTTACCTCGAGGAAACAGTTTGTTTCACCTCAGTTAGGATTATCTTTATTATGGTCAAATACTTATTATTTGTTTATTAACAATTATTTTAATTAATAATAATTATTTTTATTAGTATTTAGTAATAGTTATGCTTTATTTGGATTAATTTATACTTATACAATTATTACTTATTACTTATATACAATTTATACTTATTATATTACGTAAACATTTACACATGATTTCTTATAAATTGCAGTTGTTAAGTTATGTTCAATCTTTCTTTTTCATTTTTTTGTTTAAGGTGTAGGTAAAAGTTCACTGCTGTTACGATTTGCTGACAATACTTTTAATGGCAGTTATATAACGACAATAGGAGTGGATTTTAAAATTCAAACTGTGGATATAGATGGTGAGAGAGTAAAGCTCCAAATTTGGGATACAGCTGGACAAGAACGTTTTCGGACAATAACTTCAACTTACTACAGGGGAACACATGGTGTCATAGTTGTGTATGATGTGACCAGTGGTGATTCTTTTGCTAATGTAAAAAGATGGTTACACGAAATCGAACAAAATTGTGATGTGGTCAACAGGGTACTTGTAGGAAATAAGAATGATGCACCTAATGAAAAGGTGGTATTAACAGAAGATGCACAAAGATTTGCCAATCAAATGGGAATTCAGTTATTTGAAACTTCTGCTAAAGACAATATTAATGTGCAAGAAGTAAGTAGAATTTATGATATAATGTTTCCATAAAAAGTAATTTATGATATATATTATTTGATTTAATTACTATGTGTATTTTACATTCATCTTTAATATTTCGCATTTAGTATATTATTTATATTCAATAAGTTTTTAATTGTTTTTATTATTTAATAAGATTTAAGTACCAATGTTTAGTAACTTATTTTTTTAAATTGATGATTATATTTTTAAAGAAAATTAGAAGTATTTTAATAATGTATTTTGGTAATAGCATGTATTACTTGGAAATTTTTGTTTATTTCCGATAAGTTTTATAAAAGTAGTTTTACCTTTTGACTTTCATAGAATATTATGCTTTAATGATTTATTCATTTAACTACTTTCCTTTTCATTCTTATTAGATTGATTCAATTTAAATAGTGTTTACATGCTATGTTATGCTTTACATCGTAATTTTTATTTTCGTAGAAATATTTTTAGAATTGGAATACAAAAACTATTCAAGTTACCAAATTATATTATATTTATATATTATATTTACCATACCATAGGTTCATCTTTTTTAATTATAGTAAAATCAGCAAAAGTCTTATCGAGTAATATTATGTCTTGAAAGTGCTCCATGGTATTGTATTTACACATAGCATTGTACTTTTAATGATATACTTTCCACATAAAAGAGTATTTAAACTCCCAATTATGGGAAGTATTCTTGTATTATTTCTTCTTGTATTATTTATATCATTACTGATGAATTTAGCTTTATATATCATTTAAAATGTGTCTTAAGTTTACCTACTATTTTGAATTATATCTCAATTATCATGATCTGAAGAGATGAATTAAACTACTAGATAGAGATGAATTATACTACTGGATATATGTGATATCTTAAAAATTGTTTAATTGTTTTATATGATTCACTGAACATTGGTAGTTTTCATCAATGGGTCTATTAGTCGTTTCTTGAGTTGACGTGATTTTTTATTTCTACATTTACTAATCTTAGTTCATACAATTTTGTCAAATCTTATAGTGTATACTATTAAAATATTTTAATAAGAATATTTTTTCCAAGGTATTTTGGCTCTTACAAAACTTTTCTAAAGATTTCTATTTTGGAATGGTTTAGATTTTGTAGAATATAAAAAAAATAATATTACATTTTATGATATCAAGAATGTCCCTTGTGTGAAATTAAATAAATTCATTATTTTTATAAATATAATAAATTACAAATTATAATTTATTTCGTATTTTTATAATTTTGTTATATCTCTTATCATTATAAAATGTACAATTGTCAAATTTTTCAAAGATTTGTATGGAATAATCACTTTAATATCATACAAATATTTAAAAAAAAAATTAATATTTATCTTTTATTTCTTTCTAAATGTGTTTGAAATTATTTATTATATTATTTTTAAATAAGTTAAATGTTATTTGCGATGAATAAATGGATGTTATAGTATGGTAAAAATAAAATATACAATATTTAGAGCACTATCATAGATATGAATTTCATAATATTACTATTACTATTAAACTTATAGTTATTTTTAATGTTATATAGTTATGAAATAGATAGACATAAATAGCCTTAAAAATAGTTTTGAAAACTGAAGTCCTATATTTTATTGACAGCAATTTCTAAAGAAACAACAGTAGAATTGATCGTAATCTTTAATTTTTAAATTCAACGTTTTAAAATAAAATTTTGTCACACTTTAATAATCATTGTATGAATCTTATGTTTTTTTTTAGTAAATAATTCTGCAGGTCCTACTCATACTCACATAACTTTTTGTAACTATATTTTTTACCAGCTATCATGAAAAGTAATCTTTGAAATATGTAACATTGCTTAGTAATATTTTTGGATATGTAGGATGGATAAAAACTACTATTTGAAATAATTCATTATTTATTGATCATTAGATGTTTTATAGATGTAAAAAACAGTGTATTAGCAGGTTGAATAAATGTAGTTTCACCTTTTTGTTTTAAATTTTCTGAGATGCTAAGATAACAATAAGCTACACTCCATTTTTTTTTTTTCTTTGTTAAGAAATTTTGTTTTCATCGTAACATTGTAATCAATAAATAGATGAATTAAACAGTTAATAAGAAGGTGATTTTAAACTTGAATACAAGATAAAAATATATCAAGAGTAATCATATTACTTGTTACAAAGCTTATAACTCTATCATGTATTTCTTTGAAATCTGATTTTGAATAATTTATTCGAAGGTAATGTTACTTTCTTTTATACTTACTATTTACAAAATTATTTTGAGGTCGAATATCAACTTGAAGTCATTTTATTATAGATCGTAAAGTTCTTCTATTTGTCAGAACTATAGAATTGATGTAGAATTAACAAAAATATGCGATACAATAAAAAACGAAAATAAAAACAGAAAAAACTGAGGGTCGCTTTAATATTCCACAAAATTTGAAGAAAAAAGATCGAAATATATTTATTTAATGAATTTCGCTTAAAAAATATATTTTACCCAATCACGAAATAACAAGTTGTTTCAAGCAATAGTTTTTTTTAATGCATCCTGTACCGAGAAATACTTTTCATAATATTATAGATGATAATATCAACAATAATTTACTGGTGGATAAGTACATAAAGTTTTCAATATCATTTTCGTTTTATTTAGTATAATCTAAATATAGTTTTTATGATTAATTTAATAATTAACGATTCAATCATAATTTTGAGGAATAATAATTAAAAATTATTTAAGGTTATAAAAAATGATACTTTTATTAGTTTTATAATATAACATACAAATTTTAACTGAATTACAGTCATGTACTCTATCCTTTTTTTATTCATTGTGATATATGTTATAATAATCCTTTGTTTATCTATGTAGTTATCCCTACTATTAATTATATTTTAATGAAAAGGAAACTGAATAGTGTAATATTTAAAAAAAAACTTTTTTTTTTAAAGTTCTTTTACTATATATTAAAAATAGCTTAGTTACTGTTATCTTGATATGATTACCTTAATCACGTTATATAACATTTTTAGAATTGATAATCTATTCAGAAATAATAACATAAAGAAAACTTTGTCTATTATATGTAAGTCAGTTGCTATTTTTTGGTTTATTTTTATCTTATGGGTGTAAAATATTCTGTCTTCTATCTATATTAAATGTTCTAAAAAGATCGTCGCAAAATTTATAAGTTTTTCTTTGATTTTATTAAAAATGGTTTTAGTGAAAATTTTATTTTAGTTCAATGGAAAATTTCATAATTTCTAATTTTTTATCTATATTTTTTAGAAAACAGTACATATTAAATTTAATTTCTTTTACGATAAAGAAATTTTATTTACTTAATTCAAGACAGATCTAAGGACTATTGATTTAGGATTAATTTTTAGTGATATTATAAAGTTAAAATTATTATAACATAACTTAATCTTTTGTCGTCATAAGAGTGTCCCATTTTAATTTTTGGATACAATTATTTCCCAAACTATAGGTCATTTCAAAAAATTTCTCAAATAGAACCTATATTGCTTTGAGAAAAATATTTCCTGGTGTTCTTTTCTAGTTGGGCACGCTTCCGAAATATTTCACGATGATATTTACATCTCTTTCTTCTTTTTTTTTTTAATAAATATAAATGTATGGTTTTACTTAGGTATATATAGGCCATTACGAGATGAACTTATTTACCTGTAACACTTTGGTCTTTCAAGATTATTTACTGCTGTTCCAAATTAACCTTTCTTGTACATCTAGAAATTATTCCTTATTTTCTATGTTTAAAAGGACGACCTTGAAAATCAACAAACATGTTGATTTACTTTATTGCTATACAATAATAATACACTCTGGAAAGTTGTCCTACTAATTTATTAGCAAGCATCTTTAATCTGATGGTTCATATTTTGAAGAGTGATGGACTCACTCCGATAAACTTTATTTTTTATAAAGTATTACAAGAAAAAATGTAGCGAAGTTAAATCTGGAAAGTTTGAAAAAGAATACTCTACCAATGTTAGTAATTCCATCAATTATGTCGATTTTTTCAAATTAAAATTGCATCTACAATTTCATTAGGAATATAATTGATCATCGTAAATCGGAATGTTAACCAGAGAAGGCACGCGTAATGTTAGTCGCAATAATACTGATTTCTCTGAGGCGACTATACATGTTAGCAACAGATCTCTACTTGTAGACATAAGTGAGAACGATTAATGTGAGATCGTATCATATTTACGTTTGAATTGATAAAATATTCCGATAAAAAGATGTTTTGTAAACATTTAACAAAGATATGTTTTAAACGATATTAAATGACCTTGAAAGGTCTTGAAAGACCAAAATGTTATAGGTCAATGAATTCGTCTTGGAATGGGCTACGCACCTGCCTAAGTAAAAGCATAGTTTCATTTAAAAAAACAAAAATCACCTTGAAATCTCAGAAACGCGTCCATCTATAAAACATTTATGATCACCATAAGATGGCTCCTTCGAAACAGGGTAAGTTCTAGTTAAAATATTTTTTGAAACGATTTATAATTTGGGAAATAATTGCGTCTGAAGATTAAAATGGAACACTCGATATATTCATATGTAATTACTGTTACTTTTAATAATTTTACAAATCCTTTCAATTTTAGATTATAAATTTATATATTGTTATCTAAATCATTATACAAATTTAAAGATTCTATATCACCTATTTCACTTAATGATTTTTGTAATGATTTTTTTTTTACTTCGTTTTCTTTACTATTTATTGATAATTATTTTCTTTTGTAATTTTTTTTTTTGTCATATATTTATTTATAAGGGTAAGGATATGACAGATATTTTTAAATGAAACTAATTGAAAATAATACAAATAATTTAATGTAATATGTATTTAGTGTGTATATTACCATTTTTTATTATCTAACTTACTAGAGTTGCATCCTTATTTGATTTTGTTTTTCTTATCTTTTGTTTTTCTGTTATTTTATTGTATATTGGTATCTTTACTGAACTTTAACTGAATAAAGTATTTAATAATCTCAAATGTAGGAAATGTATAAATTATATATAAAATGTACGTCGAATTTAGTTTTTAGTTATGCCTTCATATCATTAAAAATAAATTAGTTTTTTCATTGTTTAAAATATTACTTAATATTACTTTTATGGGTAAGGGTGCAAATTTTTAATATACTTTCTATGATTTTTTCAGTTTCTGTTTATAAAGCCACATTAGATATTTTTAGTAGAACATACAGAATGAGTCATACAAATAAGACAGAATGTAATATCTCCAGTTTGGTTAGAGATAAAAGAAAAATGTGGAGGGAAGAGTTGAATGGTATAGTATGATCTATTTTCCTACTTCTTCTTTCTGTAAGTGCAAGTGAAAAATTCAAATGCACTTTCTTTTTAATGGAACTGTACATTTTTTTTAACCAACATTTTGCCTAAAAAGGTATTAGGATAAAGAAATTAATATTTCGCAAAATATTACAAAATTTTAATATAATATATACTGTTTAAAGATGTTTGAATATTTTGCATTAATGTGTTCTTTTATAGCAGAATTAATGTGGTCATTGCTTATACCTAAATAATGTCATCTAACATTCTTCTAAGTCTTCTACAAAAAAAAAATGAACGTATGCATATTTTACTTTTATAGTAACTTCATGAAAAGAAAATCAAATGGAATTAGAGCTAGAAAGTGTAACATAATATGTGTTCTGAATCAGTTTTTCTCAATTTTTCGGCTGTATAACACACGTTTATAATGGTATTGTAAATTGTTTATAATATAAAATGTTTAAAAATTGATAGACTGGAGTTACTGTATATTGTAAAAATGAATAAAATTATCCAATAACTTTTGCATATTAAAAGTAATACTTAGGACATTCATAAAACAATTCAAGTGAATTTCGATTTATAACAAATACTTTAATTTTGTATTTTATTATTTACTTTATTATATTTTAATCTCATGACTCACGATATGCTGTTCTAAATCATACTTGTGTTGATGTATCATCTCATTCATATTATCTTAAATTTAATTGCGTTTGAAGGAGAAACTCAGATAATACAAATTCTAAAAGATATTGATATCTTTCATGGTGGAAGTTTCACCGTTTAGTATATTATTCACGGAGAAATATGAACCAATAATGGTAGCATTTAAAATACTGCATCAGAAATTAATAATGAAACGTACTTAATTGTTTATATTTCTTTTAAATCATGGATTTTTTTATAGTTTCCATATATTTAATACATCTGTTCAACACCATTTATTTTTAAATGTACATATTAATTTATGTTTGTAAAAAGTTTGTATTATTTTGTATTGGGTGAAAAAAAGCAGTAAAGGGCATGGAGTATACTTAATATAAAACAATGTGCATACAATTTTTGTGAAATTAGAGCTATTCTGTATTTTTTGACTATATCACTTGTTGAATCTTGTTGATTAAATTTAATATAAGTTAGATTACTGTTAAATAATCATTATTTACAATCAGTTTTAATATATTCTTCTTACACTTTTACATATCTCATAAATTATATTGAAGCTTATGAATGTTAGTATCAATTGCATAGAATTTATTTTTACATATATATCGTACATTATTATACATTATTGTGCATTTTTGTAATTCACAGAATTTTTGTTGAAAGGCACAAAACCATTAAATATATCAAATTTTGCATTATTGATAAATGGTAATGTTTTAATAATTGGTTTCTATTTCAATTTTAATTTAGTCTTACAATAAACTGTCAATAATTAATTAAATATTGTTGATTGTTAGAATTTATTTTCAAATGTTAATTATTAACATTCATTGCATATGCAATTATTTACAATTTATATCTATAGAACATTTTCATAAAATTAAAATATTTTATGAACTATTGGTTCTTTCAGTATTGTACCCTGATGCTTTTTTACACAGATTGTTTCGAAGAATCTATATATCTAAGAAAAAGGCACAGTTCCATTAATAAAGAAGTATATTTGTGTTTTTCAGATACAATGTTGCAGTTATGAAAAACAAGAAAAAAGGAAATTGTAAGAAAATATCAAAAATATTTTCTATACCCTTTAACTGTTTTGTATAATTTTTTTATTACCTGTAATCAAACTGGAGATATAATTTATCCCAATTGTATATATTTCTATATTTTTTTAGTACACGACTCTAACTTGTTCCATATGTTTAAAATATATCATGTGATTCAAATTTTTAGATATATTTATTTTTCTTTCAAAGATAAAAAAGAGTTATTAAAAATTATTATAATACATTTTAAACGATTTTTATAAATATTTTATGAGAATAAATGATGGCTCATATATATCATGTATATTTTATAATAATAAAATGTACTATGTGCAAATTAGAAAATGTTATATTTATGATGTAGTATATATTTTTGTATTATATAAATTTTAATATAAATCAAAATGGATATTTAACGTATTACGTAATATGAGTTTGTAACTGTTAAATTTTTATTTTAGTATTATAGATAGTTCTACAATTACTACTATAATATTCAGAAAAAATCAATTATAAACATTACATAATAATATTATAACAGTATTATATTAATTACAATGAGATGACTTTCCACAAATAATTCTTATATTTTTTTTTTTTCATCATATGTAAACTCATTTACAGTAAATGAAAGATAAAATCATTTGTACTCAAATATTATATGTTACACTTGTAGAATTTAAAAAGACTGCCTAGATCTTAATGTGTTTAAATGTTGTCTTATAACTATCTTAAGTAGTATTATTTTTCCCTTTTTTGTTTTGAATTATTGAAGTAAATATAACAACAACAACAACAACACTAATAATAATACCAATAATAATAATAATTATAATAATATTGTTGTATACTCTTGTATCAGAATTTATATTTTGTCAAATATATATTTCCTAAAATTCTTCATGAAAAATAAGCTAATAATGATAATTAAGATAGGCAAAATATAAAGTAGCAAATACCAAATATTAAATATTTAAAAGTCTGATTCATTTACAAGGTACAATAGATCTATTATATCTATTATCTATTATATATAATCAAACTTATCTTTAAGTAATAGTAACATAATTTGCTGATAGATGAACCATATTTATAGTTAATAAACACATTTTATTCATTATGGATTTTTAAAACATACTAAATAGAAGGATTAAGTGATTTTTTACATTTCAAGAGCATTACTATTATATAGTTTATGAAAAATAATATGACGGAATTTTTATTAATATCAAACTTACATATACTTTTTAATTTTTCTATAATGTAAATTGTTATATTAATCTTAGGAGCTATTATTTAGAAAATTTAAATAACTTTATTTATAGAAAAATATCATTGTATTGTAATATTACTGAATGATTTTTTATTTAAAAAATTGTTCAACAGTTACTAGATTACTTTATACATTTAAAATTTGTATCGTATATAAATTTTGTAATATATGAATTCATAAATATCTAGAACTTTAAATTTGATAAAGATTCTTAAAAAGTAATTTTTTAAATTTTTAATTTTTAATGAAGGTAGTATAAAGTTTCTTTAGTATATAATATATATGTTAAATTTGTTAATAACATAACTTTAATGGATATTAATTTGTTGTATTTAGATGTTTATGGCTATAACACGGCAAGTATTAAGAACCAAAAAAGAAAGGAAGGAACGACAGGCTATACAAACCAGTGAAACGGTCAATTTAAGAAAAAGCACAAAGCAGCATAAAAAGAAGTGTTGTTAACAACATTGTATAAGCATGCAATCTGTATTATGACCATTTAATAGAAGAACAAACATGAAGCAAAAGTAAAGCAGAGAGCATGCGATAGCATCAAAATGATCAATATAATGTAATACCGACGATTTTTGAAACTATTAAGTTTTGTATCTAAATTACATCATCGAAGATTGTATTCTCATAGAAATATACTTTGATGCTAGTAATGTTCAATATACATAGGATGCAAATGTTATGAGTGTGTAGTGTTTATTAAGTAAAAGTAACTTTGTAAGCAACACACTTTTCAATAAGCTGCATATTTTGAATGTAGCATTAAAAATATAAAGGCCTATTTATATTGTACAATTTACAATTCACAAAACACGAGCACATGAAAAAAAAAAAAACAAATGAAATTATATACATAGCTGCTTCTTATCCATTTTCTCCATTACAAAAAGTTATTTATAAAAAAAAGTGGTATGAATTAGAAGATAAAGAAATATATTGTACAAAGCTTTATCTAAATTTAATGAATAAAATAAAAACACTGTGTGTATGAGATTTGGATAATTATGGATAAATTTTTCTTAATAAGTTACCATAATGTGAATTCAATATTGTTAATACGTATTTAATAATAAAAAAGAAAAAAGACGATCTATATCTTCATCAGCAGGTTTAAACAATTTTGTGCATATTCACTGTGCAAAGTTCCTGTGGTATGATGACGCTTTAGAATGCACTTTACAAATAAAATTGAAATAAGCAGTAATATATTTACGGTATAACAGAGGCAAGCTTTTTTTAATTAACAGAGGAAACATTACACTGTGTCAATTTAAATGTTATAAATTCAATTTAAATACAAGTTTATTCATTACTTTAGAGGTAAATCAACAAAGCTTAAGGAAACACTGTTTATTCTTTTGATATGAGTATGTGTTTTAAAGTTCAATTTTGTAAAGTGTATTTTGCAATGTTTTAATGTTAATATGATATTATAAACATTTGTGAAAGGTTTAATTTTCTGAACACGATTTAAATGATTAATATTTTTACATAAGATAAACTTAAATTTTAATTTTGTTTGTAACCATTTTCATAGCCGAAACTATTATAATTATTGTTTTGTAATCATAATAATTCAAATAAAAATTAGTAGTAAATTTTTTATAATAAGTATAAAGTTAAATACTTTATGATTATAAAAAAGACAAATTTATAAATATGTAATAACTTACCAGGTTTTATAATAAATATGATTGACATATTATATGTGCTATAATAATACAGTAAATGTGTTTTATCATCTGTGATAATAGTTAGGAAACTTATCTAGCTGCCGCTGTAATACCGTTAAAAACAACTCCATGTGAATTATTGTAATCGACATTACAAGTTTTTGGTCAGAATAACATATCTTTAAATGTGGCAATGAAGCGGCATCCTATAATATGTAAATATTCTACTTGCCAGTTTTAGTGGCATATCGCAAATATTCCAATCAAGCATATTCAATATTGTTTACTGTTATACAGTTATAACATTGTAATATGAATTATTATATACTTTAAAATATAAATAAATAGAATTTATGTGTATATGAATATAGTTCATATATTTGTTAGATTATTTGTTACCTTTCTCTCTCTATTACCAATTCCAGGTAATAATTAGTATGTACTTCTGTTTAAATTTTATTACAATTGTAAACTAAATCATTCATGTATTGAATCATTGTATATTTTTCCATATTCAGATGATTTTTATAATAATGTGATACATTTTCATAGTTAGCAAAAATTACAAGTATAAATTTTACATATAGTAAAAGAATTCTTAGGAAAATATGACAATTAGCAATCTATAATATATGAAAATTTAAACTTGATTATATTGCCAAGTATTAAAACATATTTCAATATTTGTTAACATAACCAGGAAGAAAGGAATATTAATATTATATATACATTAAACATTAATTAAATGATTTAAAGATTTAAATATTCGTTTATATTAAATGTTGGAAACAAAAGTTTGAAAGCAGAGCTGTGTAAGTCTATCATGGATAACACATATATATGTATTTTATATCTGAATTATAGAAGTTAAAAAAAAATAATTATTTTATTGTGTTTAATTTTTTCTCTTTTTAATTATAATTCAATATGTATCATAAAATCAAGAATAATATAATATTAATTTATTAAAAAGTAATACTTATAACACAAAATATTTGAGCAAATAATTCAATACAATGCATAATACATAGTTTCAAGAATAAGCTAATATGAAGTTTCATACATTATTATACAAGTTTAAAACATTTAAAGAAAATTTAAAAGAATAGAAAATGATTTTAACAAAGATTATAACGTATAAGATGAATCATCTAAATAATTGGTGCAATGTAAGTAATAAAACAATTATTAAGTACTATTGTCATAAGTTTTATAAATTAATGCTATATGTAATATATTACTAAAAACTTATAATCAATAAAATATTAAAGAAAAAACAGTACCCCTGTAAAGTAAAATATGGTTTAAATATTTGAAACTATATCTTATGAAATATTTCTAAAATCATTACAAAGACAATATAATTATATTTAATAAAAGTAATAAATTTCATTGGATATGAGCATTTATAAGTAAAATATTATTAAACATTAAATTTAAATATTTAATACACAGAATTATTTCACTTTGAAATTTATTATGAACTGAATTATTAATTAGTAACATTCCCATTACACAGGCATAAAATATGTTACTAACATTGTTAACTAAACATTATTTACTTTACGCTATCCATTTATATCAACTGCTTGTAAATACTTGATCGATTGATAATTATCTGAAACTTAATAAGTGTTTCAAATATCTCACATTATAATATCACAATTATTTCATATTATATTAATTGCAATATTTTTATTTGTATATTACAAAAATCTTTAATCTTCAATCAAAATTAAATTCATTTATTTTAAAGAGTACAATTTCTACATCACATGAAATAAAAATATAAGAGAATAAAAAGAAATTTCTTTTAATTAGATTATATAACATCTAGTTACAACTTTGCTTCATTAAATTCAAATTCGTTTTATTAAAGATAAAAAAAAATAAACTGTTTAATAAATATCCAATAAAATAACATTTAATATCACTGAAATAAAAATTCCACTTACATATGTGCATACATGCATAAGTGTAAATTGTAACCTGTCATTTTTAACTGGAAATTTGTATTATCTACATAAAAAAATGGTAAATAGTTTCTTTTTAGACGAATTAAATGATTTCAAAGAAATATCTTTTATTATTTGATAAAATTTTTACGTATAACCGTATATACTTAATATGAGTATTTATGTAATATACTCATCATATATAATTTTATGAATAAATTATTACGAATAAGATGTAGACGATATAATTTAAATATAAATTGTAAATCTAATATCGTTAAGTAATTTTTTGTTAGATATTAAAACATGTAGTATTACCTTTCCATTCATTTACGAACCGAAAATTAATACGCGTATTTCTCGTTACACTATTGTCACACACATGTATATATTGTGCGCGCGCGTTCATATATCAATACTTTTATTTAAATATTTTATATTTAAAGTGGAATATCGATGAAATTATAGTTTCGAAATTACATATAAGAATATTTATATATTTACTCCTATGTAAATCTAATAACAATGGAAAATATCCAAATCCATTACTATAGATTATTGACATATTAATTGATAATTTACCTTCACCAAAGTCGTTATGGATGTTTCTTTATATGATTCACTTTTTCTACTCTCGATAGTACCAAATTATTATAAATACTTACTTAAATATAATAAAGATACAAGCACAGATCAAAGTAAATCTAATTATCACATAAATAATCTGTCAATTTATAAAATTAGCCATGTATTTCGTTCTTACGTTAAATAGAAAATTGAGATACACAAGGTGTTTTACGCGTAATTAAATTTATAAACCGATAATTTTAAACATATATGTAACTTCAATTTGAAATCGGTTTAATATCGATCTGTTTTATTTCATCTATAAAGTATTTCAATCATTGTGCGGTTTATATAGAAATTTTAATATAATTATTCTCCATTTGAAAAACAAAATATTCATAGAAATGTATTATACATGTAAATTTATAAAGAATTTTAATTTTACTTTTCCATATATATAAAATTACGTTTCTGATTCCGTAATTGTTTAATCAATACGGATTTGTTGATAATTACCGAAAGGTTACGATAGAAAACAAGAAGCGCAAGAACTATTTGTTTCCCTTCTGTATCAAATAAACAGGATCGCGATGAATATTTATAAAAAAAAGAAGGAAAGAAGAAGGAAGAAGAAAAAAGGATGGATTAAAAAGGGTGGCGTAAAAGGAGAATCGGGTATGCGAGAAAATTCGAGGAACAGTGGTTTAACGTGGTTCAGAGTACACGGTGTCATACCCCCACCTCCCGACGAAAACTTAAAAATGCCGCCGCAGCGCAACCCGAATCGATATTCGCCGACGTAGTCACGTGACTCAGACTCGAGCGCTATGAGCCAATCGGTGTTTCGCTAGAACGAAGTTTGCTCTCCTTGTGTTACAGAGCGACGACACGACATCTAACTTTAGGTAACTGGAACAACAGTTCGCGACTGGCAGCGTACCGGTTTACGTTTTGGTGATGTGTTGTTTCGAAGCCAGTTACGCGAGTGGTTTTGTAACACGTTTAATCGTCAAGGAAGTGAATACAAGAACAATAGTAGGATATCAGCGTGTAGAAAAGATTCGATTCGACGCTTGACATAATTCGTTTCTAATTTGTTTTTATCTGGAAAGAACGTAACAACGGCGTGTGAGTGAGTATCGTTCGGATTGGTATATCGTGTCTAAAAAGAAGTGATAACCGTAGTAAAGAGAAGGATCGAAAAGTTGCCAAGAGTTGTAAGGGAGAGAAAGATCGAAATAGTGAGAGAAAGAAGTGGGGTGATAACAAACATCGGAAAAAGAGAAAGAAAAAATATACTACATATTATACGCACGACACGCACGACGTACGCGTACGCACACTAACATAGATACGCGCGCTTGCGGACGCGCTTACAAATACAGGCACACGCTAACGTTATACACACGCGACTCAAGCACATACACACACGCACACGCGCGCGCGCGTGCGCGCGTGTGTGTATGCTGTATAGTAGATGAATACATACACGTATTTGTACATATATAGAAAGAGAAGAAGAGAAGGACGGTGTGAGGGAGGTTAAAGGAGGGCGCTTGAGGAAGGAGCGAGGGAACGAGCAAGGGAGAGAAATATAGAGAAGAAGAAGAAGGAAGGAAGAAAGCGAAAAGCGAAACGCGTGGAAGAAGGGAAATAGGAATCGAAAAATACGGTAGTATTACATGTGCTATGCGGTGTTCCGTGAGTGCTAAGCGATCCGCGTGGGACAGAAAATCGTAAAGCAAAACAATCGTCGAACTTTCCCTCTTTTGTTTCATCGTGCGTTAGAATAAATTTATCGTCGATGATAAATCGAATAAAAGTAACATCGATGTAGTCGGCGGGAGTGAAGTAAACGGTTCCGTCGGGGTCGAGTATTGAGTCGATCTCGAATTAATATTTAGACGAAAGACTTCAGGATCGGTCGAAATATGTATCGTAGACGATACGAGATCGTTAAGCGTGATAAAGAAGGAGAATAGCGGTGCGGGGAAGAAAAGAAAAGCAAGCAAGAGGTGCGAAGAGATGATTCCATAAAGAGAGAAGGCTATAAGGGGAAGGGAAGGGAAGAGAAGGGGAGAGAGAGAAGAGAAGAGAAGAGAACAGAAGAGAACAGAAGAGAAGAGAAAAGAAAAGAAAAGAAGAGAAGAAAAGAAAAGAGAAGAGAAGAAAAGAAAAGAGAAGAGAAGAAAAGAAAAGAGAAGAGAAGCGAAGGGAGAAGGAAACGAAAAGGAGGAAAAGAAAGGAAAACTTAGGCAAAATATTCGCGAAGGATAGTAGTTTTGGAAAAACGTGTATATGTGTGGGCGCGTGTGTATACATCAGTGGGCAAGATGGAGGAAAGTCAGCTGTTGATGACGGAACTTCCGGCATTGACGCCGAGTCGCGGTACAACGTTGCTTCATCGTTCAGGACATTATTATCAGTTACACCAGCCGCACCTGGCCGCGATACCGACGTCGCAGAGTCAAGGGATTCTTTACAACTCGAGTAACCCGCCGCCGCCGCATTATACTAGCGGTGCGACCGGTCTACCGGCATACGCACAAGGTCTTTCGTCGAGGCAACAACCGCAAGTAACTCCTCGCGGTACTGTCACAGTGAGCACGCATATCTCCTGCCTGTACCCTGAAATATTGGCGCTGATCTTCAGCTACCTCGAGGTCAGGGATAAAGGACGCGCCGCCCAAGTATGCACTGCGTGGAGGGACGCGGCGTATTACCGGTCGGTCTGGCGAGGGGTTGAGGCCAGGTTACACCTAAAAAAGCAGGCACCGGCATTATTCGCTAGTCTGGTAAGAAGAGGAGTAAAAAGGGTGCAGGTATTGTCGTTGCGAAGAGGTCTCGGCGATGTTTTGAAAGGTGTGCCAAACCTGGAGGCCTTGAATCTCTCGGGTTGCTGTAATATCACCGACACAGGCTTGATCAACGCTTTCTGTCAGGAATACAACACGCTTACCGAACTGAATCTTTCGTTGTGCAAACAAGTGACGGACATTTCTCTCGGTAGGATAGTACTGTACTTGAAGAATCTCGAGCACCTGGAGCTTGGTGGTTGTTGTAACATTACCAACGGTGGACTTCTCTATATAGCATGGAACTTGAAGAAGCTAAAAAGACTGGACCTACGAAGTTGTTGGCAAGTATCCAATCTGGGTATTGCCTATTTGGCCGGTGTGAATCGCGGGGCAGCCGAGGGTAATCTCGCGTTGGAACATTTGAGTCTTCAGGATTGTCAGCGACTGAGCGACGAGGCACTCAGGCACGTGTCTATCGGCTTGACCACTTTGAAATCCATTAACCTTTCGTTTTGCGTGTGTATCACCGACTCGGGGCTGAAACATCTTGCCAAGATGTCCAGCCTGCGCGAATTGAACCTTCGATCCTGCGACAATATTTCCGACATCGGTATGGCTTATCTCGCGGAAGGTGGCAGCAGGATTTCCTCGTTGGACGTGTCGTTCTGCGACAAGATCGGGGATCAGGCGCTCGTTCACATTTCCCAAGGATTATTTAATTTGAAATTGCTCTCGCTGTCCGCCTGTCAAATCAGCGACGAGGGTATTTGCAAGATCGCCAAGACGTTGCACGATTTGGAAATACTGAACATCGGCCAGTGCAGCAGGCTGACGGATAAAGGACTCTACACCATCGCGGAGAGTATGAAACACTTGAAATGTATCGATCTTTACGGATGCACCAAGATAAGTACCAACGGCCTAGAGAGGATTACGAAGTTGCCGCAACTGAGTACGTTAAATCTTGGTCTTTGGCACGTGCGGTGATTTTTTCTCAACCGTACAACACTATTTGCGTCCCCATAACACATTCTCCGTACGAGTGACGAACGACCGACCACAATGTCTCTTTGTGATCACGTGCTGATTACGTGCACGCCTCGATTCTCTTTTCCTTACCATCCTCGCGTATCGTGTCAAAGACGAGAATTTTCACTTTCCTACATGTATATATATATATACATACATATATATATAATATGTATATATATAATATAACTATATATATATAAATATATATGTATATATATAATATAACTATATATATATATATATGTATATATATACCAACCTTACGAACTGCACCGATATATTTTTTCGGTTCGTTACTCGTGCGATACTCGTTTACCAATTCGTTCCGACACACACACACGCACACACGCGCGCGTATGCACGCGCGCGCGCGCGCACACACACACGCACGCACACACACACACACACATACATACATACATACATACATACATACATACATACATACATACATACATACATACATACATACATACATACATACATACATACATACATACATACATACATACATACATACATACATATTATATACTTTCGTCTTTTGCGATGTGAAATATTTTCTCCAAACTTTATCTCAAAATTTTCAACGCTTCGTTCATCGCGTTCCGCTTTTAACGCGCATCATTGCAAACTACAATTTCAGGAATTCAGGAACGAATTCGAACGGTCAATTTTATAAATTTCCAGCATTCTCTTATATTTGCAATTTTGCTCTTTTTCTTTTTTTTTTCTTTTTTTTTTTTGATCTATTATAAAGATAGAGGCGAATATAGCAGTCAAAGACTGAACTAGACACTGCGTGGTCTAGTACCTACGCTCTTTTCGTGCTTTCCAAAGAATATATATACGTGTACACATACGTGACGGAAGACACGTATCGAGCTGTTCCTTTATTTCTTTACTTTTTTACATTTTTATCGTATCGGAGAACATGCGTATTTTCTTGTTTATACATACACGCGTGTGCGAACCTGTTTTACGTATAAATCTTTGTCTCTTTAAGGTACGAAAATATCCTGACGATGCGTAGTCCAAGTGTTGTACTTGATCGATTAGAACCATCCGCCGCCTGCACAGTGTCTTCGCGATATTTTGTACATTTCTCATCTCCCGTATACCAGCTATATGCTCGTGCATTCTCGCATCTAGCAACTGTGTATGATAATGTGTATTTGTATTCACCCGCCCATACGCGTGCGCGTGCGCGTGCACCACGCATGCACCAAGCAATCGGTCAAACATTTCACGTTACCGAAACATTTTTCTCGTCGTAATTATTCGTAATCGCGTTTTCGATCGGTTCTCGATCGATTCTCCTTCTACGAACACGCTTTAAGTTAACGCCGTTAAGTTTCCCGCGCATCGTCTCTTAAGTACCTAAGATTTTCCCTTCATTTTCGCGTCGCAGTTCTTTCTTCTTTTTTGTACGCCTTTGTCCATAGCGGAAAATTAATCGCGACTCGCTCTTTACCATATCTTTTTATTCGCGTGCCTTTTATAACGAGATCGTTGAATTTGTTGTATTGCACGAAGATTTTTTTTTTCGTCGGTCTATCGTAATTATCTGGCATATTATACCAAAGAATACGGAGATTAAGAAAATAACGCCTATAATCGTCCGATTCGTTCGTTTTCAACGTGATTCGATTTTAGTACGAGGTAGTATATACACGTAGGTATAATCGTTATGTTTGTATGGTTAGCGAAAATCGTTGCTCTTTTTCTGATAACGTAAGTTCGAATTTAGTATTATAATTGAAGAAAAAGAAGAAACGAGAGAGAGAGGGAGAGAGAGAGAGAGAGAGAGAGAGAAAGAGAGAAAGAAAGAAAGAAAGAAAGAAGAGAAATGTTATCGAATACGCGATTTTGTAGGCTCCAAGTTGTGTACGATACGATCATTTTGTCTTTGTACAAATTTTCACTAATAACAGACGCGTTTCTATTTTGTATAAATCATATCGAAACACGCATCTGTTTCTCGAAATCATGTAAGTATATACATATGTATATATAAGTATATACAGGGAAGAGAAAGAGGAGGAAAAGACGCGAGCGTGTGAAACGACAAAGATTAGTACACCCGTTGTATTACATCCGATATAGAAAATTTTTTGTTATCACAGAGAAAACCGTGGATTACGTTGATGATCTGTATACGAATGAGAAAAAGGTAAAGATAAGGTGTAGGTGTAAAGTAATGCATGCACATAGCGATAAACGAAATCAAATTCATCGATGGTACATAGCTTGTTCGTATCGATTTCATTTATTCGGTCAAGGTGCAAATAGAATACATATTAGAAGTAATAATCTGCGTTGTTGCGTCAGTGCTGATTCTAAACACGTTCCGAGTGGAACGGAATAGGTAAATTCTTCGTTTTATTATCGTTTCGTTTAATCGCGACGAATGTTCATTACGATTTTCTCCAATTTTCTCCGAAATACATACATGCTTTAACATTTTTTCTCCTTCCTAATTTCTACGTCGTGTATTTACATTTTTTGTTATTTGTATGTAAAGTAAAGGACGATCGTTGCTCGATATGTACACCGACTCGACAAAATTTTTAGACATTTGACTAGAATTTTTTAACTCGTTACCATTACGTATCTCCCGGTTACGATTTCTTCGTTTTATATTCGTATTATATTCAGTTGCTACTTATTAATAGAGACCGTTACTAAGATGATAATAAAAAGTTGATAAACAGGCAAACAATGCTGCAAAAGTGTTAAAGATTAAAAATGATTTTTAAAGAGACGATTAATTATTTTAACGATATACGGTTTAGTTTTTATTTTACTTTTAACGATTTATACGATCTTATAGTTTTTACGAGACAGATCTATCTCATTTTCTTTTTTTTCTTTTATTCTTTATAATTAATCGTACGTATGTTTTATTTTTCTCTTTTTATTTCTCTTTTCGTTTATTTTTCTTTTTCAGATCAACAGATTATTTTTATATTATTTATATCGGGTTAACGTAGATTCTTGTATGAAAGATTTTTTATTTCTGCAGAGAGATTAGCAAAAACGGTAAATCGATATAACTTGCTATTAATATGTTAAATAAGTTTGTGCCAGAGTTGATTTTTCGTTCGTATATCGAAATAAAAGAAAGAAAAAGAGAGGTAAAATTGTTTAAATATTTAAAACAATTTTAAATACTGTGCGATAGAAAAGACAAATATCGATCATTTTTTTTTGGAAAGTATTTTGAGTTTTGACTACTGTCGAATTTTGTTTTATTAATTTCCTTACTAGTAACAAGTTGATAGAAACGAAGATTGTAATTCGGTATTTATTTATAATTGAAAATTTTGTTTCGAGTTTTGAAAAAGTTTTTCTCAGATTTAACTTGATAGTTATACGTATACGTATGTGTACATTTGTATGCGGATGAGTATACGATATATTTGAAAATTTGTTGCAAAATATTAAAAGTGAATATTGAAAGTGATTCGATTCATCTTGCTTGTGACTGGTTAATCTTGCCACCTTTTGGATTGTTTCGTTATCTTTGATGAAGATTAATTGAAACAATGAAAGTAAAGAAGTAAAATGGAAAAATGCGTATCTAAAATTTTATTAAAAATTTGTTAAAACGATGAATCAACTTTTAAACAGTTTGACTTTTTATTACATCGAAACTGATGACTATTTCATGAATTTTATCTTACCGTTAAATTCGTTGATTTTACAAATTTTTAACGTAGGAGCATCAACTTTTTTAAGCCATTAGCATACTATGTTTTTATTTTCAGTATGGACCGTATATTTATTTTTTGACTCATTTTGCTACAACTACAAGCATTATTAAAATTTGAAATTTCTAATTCATAAGCATAATTTAATATACTAATATTTTGATAAATATTTATTTTTGTAAAAGTAGCTCATATATGATTACGATTTTGTTATGATTATTTTTTAGCAGATATTCGCACTATGTAAAAGAGTTTTCGTATAATGTTTTATGTTATTTATTCAAAAAAGACAAAATTTCGATTAAACGAAAAATTGAAGAATTTCGATGCAACTGTTCACATACTATACGTATTAAAAATAAGTTTATGCAATTAATTAAAAGATGTTTATTTAGGATCTTATCGATAAGCGTAACCTGAATTTCAATTTTCGATTTGTACAAGTAAATTTAATTGTAGTATAACTTGTACATATGTTAAAAAGTTTCGACCATTACATACTATTGATATAAATTATAAAAAAAGGTAATTAATGACAATCCGAATTTAATTTCTGTGTAATTACAAAATGTTATGGGAATGTATTCTTAAGTTATTGTTTTATAATATATAAATTGTTATTTCTACAAATTTTTTTCAAAAATGTCATTTATGATGGCATTAAAAACATCATATCTCGAATTATACGTCTTTCTAAAGTTGATGATAATAATTGCTATAACCGACATTGTTGTTAAAATATACTGCTTTCTATATTTTCATACTTCTGATTATTGTACCGTTAATATATCGTAAGGAATTCGCAAAAACGAATCGCATAGCAAATCGATAACAGAAATAACATCTAGTGATATACGCGACAAAGTTTTGCTAGATAGTTTATAAACTTTCTTATAGATTATCCAAAGTTATCTTTCTCAAGGTCAAACGTTTCTCGGCAAATGTTTTCTTCGCGCATTACGACTTATCATTTCTAGGGTATTCTTTCTTCTTTGTATCATCTGTCGGTAATAGTCTACGTTCGGTATTTTATACTCGACCGAAATGGTTGCAAATGCATTTGAATAATGTAGGAAATTATCTAGTTTCCTGCGCATAGAAAATCTCTTCAAATGAACGAACGACGATCGTAGCACGTGAATACTGTTTTCATCCAAATGCATTTCTTTGCATTGCAATTGAATTATTACCAACAAAAACGCACTTACTATGGCAAACAGAGTTGTTGGAAAGTTCTAGTCAAATGCATGGAAATTTGTTCGAGTCAGTGTTTATGAAATATTTTTCAACCTACCACAATTTGAAAAGTGAAGTGCAATCGATTTATATATTTTCAACGTGTAATTTTTGTTATGTATCGAACTTCATCTAATTTT